TTCAAGACTTACTTAGCGACAAGTAATATTAAACTCGAAGACTAAATCAACTGAAGAAAGCAAGGCACACACAGGTCTTAAGTACTCTCACGTTCAAATGGTCAGAGTCTATAGCCGGACAATATGGACGGCTGCCTGATCAAGGTAAAACTGCCTCGTAGACTGCCAGGTCAAGATAAACTGCCTCGTGTTGCGAGTGTGCAGTGCAATTAAAGACTTCTGTGACAGGGGAGGTTATCCTCAACTCATGTCGCCATTGGTTGGGATAATCATCTGATCAGAATCATTCAATCAGATTTTAATGGAAAATTTCTATGTCTCAAACACCTTAATAAGTCAGTGGAAAAACCCCAGGTGTTACACCATCATTCCATATAAGGAATTATACAATGTCAAAATAAAAATGACTCGACCTAAGTAGGTCACAGTTACATAAAATCTTGTTATTAAAACGTTTTTATGCACTACTTTTTCGGTACTTTAAAATTTTTAATACAATAGAGTTGCATGACTAAAAACTATTGTGCACCAAATAAACATAAAAAATGTGCGTGTAATAGCGCGGTAAATAGTACTTTGTATATGAAATTTTAATTAATTCTTTAAAAATTAACTAGGCAGGAAATTCAGTCAAATTTGATGTCGGATTTCATTGTCATGGGGTCTTGATCCACGTGCCATAGAAGTGGTAAAATTTTGCTCGCCCTTTTAGACCAATGGCGAGGAAGCAAGTTAAGTAATAGCTTGTAAAAAGTGAGTATTTTAAAAAGAGAAAGAACACGGTATGACTAGTACTATAGTACTAGTAGAGCGGCTAAATATCTTTACAAAAATGTGTTTGTGTATTTTTACAAATTCCAAATCACTGATATCTAAAAACATTTTACCCGAATTGTAAAAAAACAAAATGCATATTTTGGTTGCTAAACTTCTTATACTGGTGCATATAAAAAAAAACTGACCCCTTTCAATGACCCGTACTGGTGAACTCTATACCTGACCTTTTGACCCCAGCATTTGCGACAACAACAATGTACTCAAGGAACGTAACCCTGTCTGAAAAGTGACAGTTAGCTCCCCTGTTTTACGACATTAGCAGACAAACGTTTTCTGGTTCCCGCCCTGTTGACTCGGGCGACCACCACGACCAGGGGCCCTTTGATGGGGTCGGTGCTACTGACCCCTGCGTGTTTGCTCACAGCTGACCACGGCTGGTCAACGCTTGTTCAACACAGTTTCAACTTGTTTTTTTTACTGCTCGGCATGTGGGTCAGTGACGTCAGCAGTCAGCACGCGATCACGTGTTACATTCAATATTTGGGGGCTGGTGTTTTGTTCAATGCAAATTTCGGTACTGGAGAATATCCCGGAGCAGTAGGAAGAACTCGATGCCTCCAACACTACACTATAGAACCAGTAATGTCGAACTTTGAGTGAAAGTAAAGGGGGAGGGGGGCTGACAATGTGGGAGCTGTTTACGTCAAAAGTTAAAAAAAATATATTAAGAATTATGGTCTCTATGGTATCCACGCCAGTGTATACCAGAGCTGCCGCTACATCAGCTAAAATGCAGCTATTACATCACTCAATAGTAGTCACTCAGCCATCTCATTATAAATCTCAGCCATATCAGCATGGCCTATCATAAAACCCAACCATTCCATCATAAAACCCAGCCATCATTACACCCAACCACCCCATCATATCAGTCAACCACCCCATCATAATACCCAGCAACCCCTCTCCTATAACAACTTAGTTTTACATCTATACTGTCCGATTCCACTTCCAATGATGACCACTTAACAATGTTATGTCATCACTTATTGGGGCCTAGGATCGAATCACAGAACTACCTCATCAAACTTAGCTTCTAAAATATATATCCACCCTCTCCCCCAATGTAAGCTGTACTTGTACGGTCACCACGTGACCACCGCCCCGCCCTCCGCATACACGGAACATCACCCGTCTATTAGCACGTTTAACACACATGAGAGATGCCCATACCCACCACACCAGGGGCGACTACTCCCAACTGGGCATCAGTGTCTACAATCCTATGAACCAGATGGAATTCCCTGCTAAACTTCACATATTTACCGACCGTACATACAACTAAAATTAGCTACAATTTAAGCGCTGTGGAGTTTTGTCGTTTCAAAACTTTCAACAAATATCCAAATACGTCATGGACACGAATAGTAAACACCCACAGGCTAATTCTATTTTTTAAAATATACATTTTGTTTTAACTAGGCTCAATTCTTTTGTAGTAGTTAAACAATGAAATTTCAACCTGCGAAATTTAACAACTGGTGTTTGCTAGAATGACCCTTTTCGTTTTTAGGGGATTGAACTACAGGTAGGCTTAAGGGGTTCGTTATTGAATGACAAAAGCTTATTGATATAGTGGCGTATTGCGCAACTTTAAAATACTGCAAATTTTGCTATTTTTATACTCGCTTCTCTGAAAGAACTTGAACATATTAGTTGAGAAAATTATCGAATACCCCCCGCATACTTATTTTATAATTAGTGTTAGGTTAGGATTAAGTTATAGACGTCGATAATGTTGAAAAGTAGGATTAAATATTAGGTCGAATTAGAGTTGTTAGCGAAAAGACCTAAAAAAAAAACCTATGTATTTATGGCCGAGTCTGAATGTTTCACCATCGAACCAGAAAACATTATTTCTATTGTTCACATTTTCTACGCGACACTTTTAAATACAAAACTTAAGATATTTCTTTTGTAAATGGAGAAAATGGTTTAAAAAGCTTGAAAAATTATAGAATTAGAACAATTTTCAGTTGTTTTTTTTTCTTCGAATTATATTTTTTGAGGCCTTGTTTCAAATAGACCAACTATAAAAGTATATTGGATCAGGTGATATTATATATTGAATGTGGCTCGCATAAAAAGTTGATACTCATTATTAAAAGTACATGGTATAGTTAAATAATCTAATATTTTCATAAGGGAAAATTAGTTTATAAGTTCTAAATACTCCTCCACCCCCAATATTTCTTGAGTAATTCAAAGCTGGAGAGTGGGGGTGATGCATGTCCAGTGACCCCCACCCTTAACCCACCTCGAAAAGTGCAGGGGCCCACAGCGCCCGTAGGGTGGGTCCCGTGCGGTCACACTGACCCCGAATACACTCCACTCCCCGCGCAAGACGTCCAATAGAGTTGACATGCGTTCAAACATTGTACTTGGGTGGTGGGTGTTTGCGTGACGATTTCTTCAGCAAACAGCCGCTGAATAGCACCAGAGCTATGGAATTCTGGGCCGCCATTTGGGTGACCTGACCTATCGGGTTGGTAGCTGTCTAGCTGGTGCGGCTAGGCAGAGATTCACGTTGATACACATTTTTTTTACATGGAAATTTTTTAGGGTAATGAGGTTAATTATACATAGAGCCTCCCTAACTAGCTATGCTTTTACATTCTTATTGGTTAATGTCTATCAATAAAGAATATATAATTGGTTAATGTCTTTTAATAAATAATACTATTTTTAAAGGTACAGCTGAAGGTGATTTTATTTGACTTAGGAAAGGCGGTATATATATATACATACATATATATATATATATATATATATATATATATATATATATATATATATATATATATATATATATATATATATATATATATATATATATATATACATATATATATATGTGTGTGTGTGTGTGTGTGTGTGTGTGTGTGTGTTACCGGAAAAGTCTAAAATCCGCCATTCTATAGAATACCTAGGAAATGTGTATAGTGACTTATTTTTAAATGGGTCGTCGAAGTATAAAATACATCAGTATTTCATACAATACCTAGTCAGCATATAGAATGCCCAAAACAAACAGACAGAGCGTGGAATACGTTTCTCGCCAGAGCATTCAACCACCATTGATAGGTTAAGGTTAGCTTTAGGGTTAAGTTTTTGGACTATTTGTTATAAAGACTTTTACAATATGGGCACTTCATATTTTACCTGAGCAGCTCGTGCAGTTCTATATAATGCCTAGACATTTTATATAATGTCTACGAAAGTATATAACAACTTCGATATTTAATGCTTTGCCTGAAAACGCCAGCGATTGTATACTTTGGCTAAGCACTCTATAGAAAGCCTGGTTTTGTAATATATGGGAGATGGACTAAGTCATTTCTCTACAGAGAGCAACATAGATATCTACAGAACTATGTGCTTATAGATATTCAGCATTTGGGGAGGAAGACACAATAGATTAAACAGTACTATGGTAGATAAAACAGTACTAACGGTAGATGAAACAGTACTTGTGGTAGATGAAACAGTACTTGTGGTAGATGAAACATTGCTTATGGTAGATACAACAGTACTAACGGTAGATGAAACATTACTTGTGGTAGATGAAACAGTACTTATGGTAGATAAAACAGTACTAACGGTAGATGAAACATTACTTGTGGTAGATGAAACAGTACTTATGGTAGATAAAACAGTACTAACGGTAGATGAAACATTACTTGTGGTAGATGAAACATTGCTTATGGTAGATAAAACAGTACTTGTGGTAGATGAAACAATACTTGTGGTAGATGAAACAGTACTAACAGATGAAACATTACTTGTGGTAGATGAAACAGTACTTATAGTAGATGAAACAGTACTTGTGGTAGATGGAACAGTACTTATGGTAGATGAACAATACTAACGGTAGATGAAACAGTACTTGTGGTAGATGAAACAGTACTTGTGGTAGATGAAACATTACTTGTGGTAGATGAAACATTACTTGTGGTAGATGAAACAGTACTTATAGTAGATGAAACAGTACTTGTAGTAGATGAAACAGTACTTTTGGTAAATGAAACAGTACTTTTGGTAAATGAAACAGTACTTTTGGTAGATGAAACAGTACTTTTGGTAGATGAAACAGTACTTTTGGTAAATGAAACAGTACTTTTGGTAGATGAAACAGTACTTCTGGTAAATGAAACAGTACTTACCACACGTGGTATCAGTTCTGCTATTAAAACAAAAGGCAACAATAACAATACGCTCCAGGCGTAGCTGGCCATGGATTGGCTCTTTTTAAATCACGTGGTGCAAACAAGTAGAGCGAGAACAACAGGAAGTGACGTTTTATCACTTGCTCCAAGAGGGCGTCTGCGCATGTCATCTCCCAGTTAACCCTAGAATCCGTATCATCGTATCCGGATACTTCTGGGGGAAAAAGGAATTAAAAAGGTGGTATTTTAGTAGAGCAATCGCGTATTAAATGAAATAACTTTAATGTTCAGTAAATTATTGGAACTTGAGGTTTGATAAAAACTGGGGTACACAATGGATGAACAGATGTCACAAATAGGGAAGTAATAGACGGAATAGATTGGGTAGATTTTAAATAACTTTTTTACTGAACATGATAAAACAAAAGGCAGATAGTAATACATCAAAAGGCCTTAAAGGAAAGACGATACAGAAACGACGGACATATATAGGAACAGTTTGGGGTCGTCCATAAATGACGTCACACTCGTAGGGGGGGGGGGGGTGTCCGTAATTTTGTGACGATGTGTGATGAGGGGGAGGGGGGTGTTCAGATGGTGTGACGTTAGACTTTTGCATTATAAGAAAGCAATTTTAGAAAACGAATTTTAGCCGTTATTTCGCGTTTTAGAAAACTGTTTTAATAAATTGTAATAGGAATTGATTAAAACATTCTGTGTAGACATAGTTCAGACACAATTTTGGAAAAAAATATCGATGTTTTAAGAACAATTCAACTGCAATTTTTTTGGAGGGGGGGGGGTGTAGGCTGACGTGTGACGTCATTTTAGGGGGATGGCTGGCTTTTTGTGACGGTGTGTGACGGAGGGGAGGGGGAGAGGTGACCCCTTGATACAGAAAGGGTAATATAGGAAAGACGGACGTATACAGGAACAGATGATATAGAAAAGACGGACATATACATGAAAATGTACTATAAGAAAGTCGGACATATACAGGAAGAGTTGATACAGGAACATATCATAAAGGAAGAAGTGAGAGGAAACGATATCTGAAAGTTTCTGTCTGTATGGGGTGAAGTTGACGTGTGCATGTCATGTTTGAGGGTATAGAAGGGGAGATTACTTTAGATGTGCTGCAGCAAAGGAAGATAAACAAAGGCTCAGTTTGCCGACTAGTCGGGGTTGGAGAAGGGCCCCGGTGTGTGGGGCGAGGGGCGGGCAGAATCAGGGCGTGGTCGATAACACGGGAGTGTGAGGTTCGGGATGGACATGGGGTGGGGGGGAATAAGTACAGTTGGGTGGAAAGGTTAATTTTACAGTATTAAATAATGCTGCAACAATATATAAATCAATGGTACTCAAATAGACGTTTTGTAAGGTGGATGTCTTAAAATATACACGCTTTATTTATAAGGGATTGATAATTTTTTTAGAATTAATAAATTAAAGACTGATAAAAGAACAAGACTAAACATGGATGAAGATGTTCTATAACTATTAATATCAAACAGCAATCGATATATCTCTTCAATTTTGAACTTTTAAAATTTCCAATTTATAGTCTTCTTTTTGTTCCTTTCTCGTTTCTTGCGAGTTAACTTTTAAAGAAACTTGATTTAAAAACATTTTGAGTTTCTTAATTAACTGATAGGTTGAAATATGTTTATTGAACTTCTGATGAGCTGTGACTAAGGACAACCTTTTAAAACAGTGGTTCTTAACCAGGGTTCGACCGAACTCTAGGGGTTCGGTGACCCAGTCTCAGGGGTTCGGCTGAGATCAAGACAAACACCCGACTCATATGATTCACGATTGAACTATACAGAAGGGATCGGTGAATGCGAATATTCAACTGGTGGGGCTCAGTACCTCTGGTTTCAAATATGCATTTAAATATTACTTTCGTTGCTGAGAGATACTGTTTATCGCCACCATCATTGATAGAACTATCTGTTCTTCCTACTGCTTGGTGAGGGAGGTCGTCAATATTTAAAAAAACCTTTTTCTATATTATGTAAGATCCATCGTTATTTTGAATTAATTCGTCATTAATAGACTGTACCCTTGAGAAACTAGATCTCCAATTAGTTTAAAAGGGGAAAAGTATTGTATGTCCATTAACTGCGTTTGTGAAGTCTAGTTAAACAAAAAACCCACATATTTGCGAGTTTAGCGTTTATTTATTTCGATCTATGCGGTTATTAAAATATTTTCACACTTCTGAGGTTAAAAACCTTACACAATTTATTAAGTACTTCTAGTAAAAGTATGTAACATCAGGTTAAGGTTAGTGTGTGGTAAGGTAGTATCTGGGTTACGTATTTGGGTAAAACTTTAAGTAATGGATGGACGGCCGTGGCAAGTTGCTTGAGACAGTATGGTAAGAATTTTTAAAGTTGACCCTTAATTTTCTCAATCACTTTAATTTTATAAAGATTGTAAAGAGAATTTAAAATGGTTAATTTCTATCAATGTAAGGAATACATATATTCACATTTTATAAACGGCTATTATCTATCTATTTATTAATAGTTTTAGGATTACATTATTCAGTATAAGGAATACTAATTTTGGAAAGTTAAGATGTCTTTAGCCTAATATTTATTACACGTTGAAAAACAGATCAGAATAGCTATAGTGAAAACTATTGGTATTTATTAAACATGCATTTGGTGTTTTAAAGAGGCTTAAAGAAATTATAATACATAACAAGACCACTATTTATATGTTAAGGCTTTTAATATTCAAACTGTAGTAAGTTGTTAGAAAAAAAATACTGAAGTTATAAATAATTCTTGCTAATGAATATAATTTGAAAATAAAAGTATTCACCTCATAAAATCGAAGTATTATCACTTTGTTGATATTTTTGACGATGAAAAAATCCCAACTTCCGAAAATTGAAAATCTTGACTAATCTTTTTTTCTTAGCTAAGCTAAAAATTAACACAACAAAACAGCGATCTTGTTAAAATATATATGTCGTCTGCTACAAATGTGTTATCACATATCCCATAATTTCACGAGAGCCACTGACCCATGTCACCTTTAAAATTATGTACCAGGTCAGACACCACGTCACCCCACCTGGACAAAACTAGCCGTCTGCCCACCGTCACAACAGCTTCACCCTCCCCCACAAACCGCTGTTTCACCTGGCCAATGAAAGCAGACGACAGCTACCTGGTTGGGAATTCCCGCCATTTTCCGACTAGCCTGACGAATACAGCATCGATGTTTGAACAGAAGGATTTCACCGTCGTCTGCATCCTTTGAATGGCTGTCTGTTTGAACAGCCACCCTTCGATATGATCCCACGCTCAGCATTCTGGGAGCTTCTATTGTTTGCGTCACATCACGAGGGGGCCTCGTTTTACACACGGAAATACTGACCTACTTATCGGCAGTTAATATTCTATGACAAATCATGACCCTGGGATGAACTCCATTAAATAATTGAAACAATGCCTGATGCCAAAGCTACATTTTCCAATGTCCTGCCCGTTTACACAACTATCTGCTGTAGCCTGTCAGTTCTAATACCTGTTAGTAGGCCTACACATATATGGCGGTTTCGGTACTTGTAAGTACCTATACATGTAATTTAAAATACCTTAAGCACCAATACCTGTCATTACGCATACCTGTAAACACCAATACCTGTCATTACAAATAAAAACCTATAAGCACATTTACCTATCATTAAAAATACCTGTAAGTATCTATGCCTGTCATTACACATACCTGTAGGTACTAATGTGTTTCTTTCAGGCACCCAATCGGGGTGGGGAGAAGGCAGTAACGATAGACATTCCACCGACCCCCCCCCCGGACTAAACAGCAACCTCAAAATTTATATATATATATATATATATATATATATATATATATATATATATATATATATATATATATATATATATATATATATATATCCAGTGCCCTCTCCTCTCCCTCGTAGCTTTCAAGAATCTCTGTCGCCCCACCCCCCCACCCCTGGAGAAAAATGTCTGAAACAAACCACCCTTAGTACCCGGATACAAAAGGTTCGATAACGCGACAGAAACTCATCTAGCAGAAATAACTGGGCACAGCAACCCATCTAGCAAAAATAGCTCCGAAACCAAACAACTGCTGCCTTGTAGTTTGTTCTTGGGGGGGGGGGGGGTAAAGGCTTTGGAAGTAAAATACAAAAAGAAATGCAAGCTGAAATAGGAGTCAACGGCCTATATGTTGCATAACAAGTTTGCGTGTTACACTCAATTGTGTAGCAGGAAATCACGTCCCAAATACAACTAAGGACGAGGAAGAAGAAGAGGAAGAGTTCTGAGTCAGTACTAACGTCCGTTTTCCCCGTGACTCCTTATGTATAACATACACAAAGTTGGTAAAACGGATGTTACCCATCCAAAAGTTTGCCAATCCTTAGACTACAACAAACGTCATGTCCCGTGTATCAGGAAAAATGTAACCAAGACTTTTCCACACGAAATTCTTGAGTCATGTCAGAAATATGACCAAGTATTGACTTAGTGATTCGAGTCTTAAAATAACTCAGCCAAATTACACGTAGAGACCTACGTATTTCTCGTTGACAATTCGTTGGAATGTAAATGATTGAAAACTAATCGGTACATGGCATTACAGAGGCGTAGCGAGGGGGGGGGGGGGCTGGGGGGACATATGTCCCCGGGCGCCGACCTTAGGGGGGGCGCCAAATTGAAAGTTTGAGGGGGGGGGTGCAAATGAAAAGTTCGAGGGGGGGGTGCAAATCGAAAGTTTGAGGGGGGGGGTGCAAATGAAAAGTTCGAGGGGGGGGGGTGCAAATCGAAAATTTGCTCCCAAGGGGGGCGCCAAATTGAAAGTATGTCCCCGGGCGCCGGGAAGGGTCGCTACGCCTCTGTGGCATTAATTCGATGAAATCGATACAGATAATTAATTTGAAAGTAATTGATACAGATCGATTCAGGACAAAGCGAAAATATTAAAATATTAAAATAAAACAACAAATTTAAAAATAAAGTAATCGAAAGAAGACATTATAAACAAAAGATTCGTACAGGCATTAACAACAAAGTAATCGATACAGAAAAAAATACTCGGTATGGGAGATAAGAAGGAAGAGTTTGATGATGTACGGTTTTGTACACTTTGGTGTACCAGCTGTGTACACGGATGTGGGTAAATGCACACGACATCACGAATCTGCCTGTTAGCATTTGACGTCAGCCATAAAGTTAGTATTTGTCGTTAATCATAAAGATTATTATTTGAAATCAGGCATAACGTTAACTTTATAGTTAGTCAAAAAGTTAAAATTTGACGTCAAGCGTAAAGTTAATATTTGGGGGTCAGTCATAGCGTTAACATTTGACACCAATTATAAAGTTAACATTTGACGCCAGTCATTCTTCTTATTCGATATCAATTGTAATGTTGTAAGGGGTTTCTCCCAACACAATTTTACATCACGATTCATCTTGTTATGCGCCATATAGATCTAAGCAGATTTCAGCGGCTCATCCAGCTTTTCTTTCTAGCTTTGCTTCCACAGCCTTTGTCAACAAGGCAGCAGTTGTTTGATGCTTTGGTTTACACTCATAGGCGGGTTACTGGAGTAAGCGATCACACGCTTACTTACACAACCTCTCCGTCTCTACGTCAGTCATGTTGGTTTGGTGTCAGTCATATAGGTTTGGTGTCAGTCATATAGGTTTGGTGTCAGTCATATAGGTTTGGTGTCAGTCATGTAGGTTTGGTGTCAGTCATAAAATAAATACATCGTATCAATTGGTTGATGTATCAGTCATACGATTAAAAGTTGACTTCAGTCAGGCGTCTAACACTACAACTGATGTCTCAGTCTAACACTACAACTGATGTCTCAGTCTAACACTACAACTGATGTATCTATCACTACAACTGATGTATCTATAACTACAACTGATGTCACTCCCAACCAGTTGGCTAACGTTACATCACATGTGTGCTAGAAACTTAACCGAAACAAAATCTGGTAAGGCCCTGAATGTAACATAAGGTACATCAAATAAAACATACTTAAGTGGGGGGGGGGGAAATGGAGAACCTGCACTTAAGAGATCAGGGACAGGTGTCTTTATGACTTAAAGGTGAGATAAAGAGGGGGGGGGGTATACCTGTTTGATTAAGGGGTATTGAAAACCGGTAGAGTACAGTTTTAAAATAGAAAGCTTTAGTTATGGGTTGGTTAAATGTTTAATTTTATAACAGTTTTTAAAAATGTTTTTACATCGAATGATTCCCGCATGAACCAATAGTAGCACCACATCAAACAAACTAACGTCATATTTTCCAGGTAAACTGTTCCAACTTCCTGTCGTACCACTTGAACTACTTAAAAACTTGTTTTACCTGGACAGTTTTACTTGGACCGTTTCACTTGGACCGTTTTACTTGGCAGGCAGGCAGGCAGACAGGCATGCAGGCAAGGAGGCAGAAAGACAGAAAGACAGAAAGACAGAAAGACAGAAAGACAGAAAGACAGAAAGACAGAAAGACAGAAAGACAGAAAGACAGAAAGACAGAAAGACAGAAAGACAGAAAGACAGAAAGACAGAAAGACAGAAAGACAGACAGACAGACAGACAGACAGCCAGACACACAGGCAGACACACAGACAGACAGATACACAGACATACAGGCGCACACACACAGACACGCACGCACACACACACACATACACACAGACATACACACACAGACAGACAGACATACAGACACACATACACAGACACACAGACATACAGATACACACACACAGACAGACAGACACACACACATGCACACACTCCCTACAAACTGCGTCATAAAGTGTATCCAAAATTTTCCCAGATTTTTTTTATCTCCTTATTGACTTAATATGCCAGCAAGATGTATTGACACAGTCAATGTCCTTAACATTCACATCTAGAACGGTTACCATGACCTTACATTATATCTACAGTTCGCATGTACCGAAGGCCTATAAAGTAATTTAGTTATGAGATCCTGCGGCCAGTTCCATGTCCAGCCGCCATTATTTTCCTAACCCGTGATAGGTACCCATAAGCGCTGGGTGGCCTCACTGACGTCATACGACTTAAGTACATCTAGTCTACTCGAGAAATATTTATCAATCAATGCTAACAATAAATTTGTTTTAACATCAATACTTAAATGACGTTGATTGGAAGCTTGATTATTAATTATTTAATTATTTTTTTCAAGAGTCAAAGTGCTTGACATAGTAGCAACTTGCAGGGAGTGTGGCGAAATTTTGCGTGAGGGAAGTGTGTGGAAAAGTGTGGATTGGGCGTGTGCAGGAGGGGGGTGAAGAGGGTGTTGGGGTAGGTGTCATTATAGAGGGGATGTAGATGGTCTAGGTGTAGAGGTGGTAATAATCACTGCAACACAAAATAGTTATTCTTAATGTTTGAAGTCACATCATGCTTCTAATTCTAACGTAACGAAAATTGTGGTCTATGGGACATAACCCAAAAATTATTACATCTGATAGGAGAAACCGGAATAGCTTCCCTTGATTAAAACCTTTAAAATTGTACAAAAATTAAACCAATTGACCATGGTCATTCATGCATTAAAATACGTCCACAAAGAAAAAATATATAGAAGAATGTATACACAAAAATTTAAATTTGAGCCACCTCATCCGTTCCCCCACTCCACTTTGACACGCGTTTTAAAATATAGGCCTATACAATGAACGCTAGTTTTGTTTTAAGCAGTGTTACATACACTATATTTTAAATTTAATTTTTATGGCAAGAAAAGTTTTAAAAGTATAATTTTTCCTTGTTCTAGTAGTAAGCAGCATTTTTATAAATCTTAAGGCTACATTTGGTTATTGACTCGTAACACTCTTTTCTTCATCGTTCGCGCACGGTAGAATAGAGGTACAATTCAATGCGCGTAGATTCCAAGATGTGAAAATTCAATTTTCTTTTGCGTACGTTGAATGTAAATAACATTGTAATCTAACAGCAAAATGTATAAATATATCGAGATTTTATATTATTTCGTTAAACAGTCTTTAACAGAAAGACGGAAGTCGATATTTTTAATGTTTTCATCAACATTTACATTTTTGGGAAATCCCGATCAAATATGTTATTAATACTTTGCTGGATAAATTGTTTTAAGAAATATTATTATGTGTTTGTTATTTTTTGGAACCTAGAATCTACATGTTTATACATTTGTAAACTAAACAACTTTTTCCACAATTGTAACAATAACAATGTCATAGAAACGTCCATATTAAATGCATATTATCAATATGTATAACACATAAGTAATATAAGAAAGGATTTTTCCGATTTTCCAAAAACATTTGTTTTTCTGGAAAGTCATATCGTTTTCTCTTTTAGACCTAGATCTACTCTGCATAGTTTTAGGTAGTAGCCTATATGTATCAACTCAAAGATGGTTAATTTTGTAAAATCAGTTGTTAGCTTAATATTACTGCAGTAATAATTTAATGCCTAAATGGTAACAACGAGTGGCAACAAGGCGTTGAACAATGGACACACACCCACCAATAGTAAGCAGATTTCATTTCTTCCCAACCACTCTCACTGTTATAAATACATAAGGTAATCTATCGTTTTAGGTACGTAAAATCGTCCGCGGCTAGTAATGTACGAAAAAGTTACCTTATTGTCAAGGCGTTAATAGAAGTGTATTGTGATATATTTGTGTCAAATATTATAGATAAATGAATAATAAACTTAAATCAATGGCTAAATATATCAATATAGGCCAGAAATTAACTTTAAACTGCAGTGTTTGCGAGCAGGATTTGCTATATAAAAAGCGGCCATCTGTAAGTTAGAGTGGCTTCCCCTGAATCTTGCGCTATAAGTTTACAATCTTCTATATATATAACTAGCTGCATCCCGTGCTCCGCCACGGTAAATCTTTTTTAAATGTACCAACTTTGGAACAGAACAAAACAAACAAAAACATAACACAAACACAAACAAAACACAACCACAACACAACACAACCACAACACAACACAACAAAACAAACAAAAACATAACACAAACACAAACAAAACACAATCACAACCACAACCACAACCACAACACAACCACAACCACAACGACAACACAACCACAACATAACCACAACACAACACAACCACAACCACAACACAACCACAACACAACCACAACATAACCACAACACAACACAACCACAACACAACCACAACACAACACAACCACAACACAACCACAATACAACCACAACACAACACAACCACAACACAACCACAACACAACCACAACCACAACACAACCACAACACAACCACAACACAACACAACCACAACACAACCACAACAATAGAATCACCAACGAACAACACGCTTTTCTTAGGCATCCGCGCCCAGAGAGAGCCTTTCCAGCATTCTCTATACTATAATTCTAAATTTTCACCATCTGTTAACACCGAAAAACAAAAACAAAAAAATAGTGATTTTGAGAGATCATAGTCTAATTAGAAAATAATGTAAATAATCTTAACATTTTTTCTATTTTACTTAACATATAATAATCAATGTGGAAGTAATAAAAAAAATTAACTTAATTTATTGAGAGTGAGTTGAATATTTAAAAAAAAAACATTTTCCCATACGTCCGCGCTTAGAGAGAGCCTTTCCATTATTCTCAAAAAGTCTAATTTCACCATCTGTTTTCATAACACCGAAAAACAAAAGCAAAAAGATAGTGATTTTAGAGAAATCATAGACTAATTAGAAAAAAATAATAAATAATATAAATAATCTTAACATTTTTCTCTTTTAATTATGAACATTAACATATACTAATCAATGCGGTAGTAATACAAAAAAGATTAACTTAAATTATTGTTGAGATAAATATATTTTCAAATTACCTCCCTTGAAAAAAATTACCACAAAAAAAAGTTGAATTAATTAGTTTTTTCGACCTACTTTTATGGAAATGTATCCATTTTTTCTAGGAATATAAACTAAAATGATATTTGACATTGATCTTTTTAATATGTTTTAGCAATGTGTGAATATTTAATATTTTCATAACGTTATGCAAAAAAGTAAACACAGTGTCATTTATAAAATAGCTCTATGCCGCTATATAAACAAACCCTACTCTAACACTTATAATAAGACACTGCGGTGCACTGAAAAGCACAGCATGGTGCGTAGTTTACTTTTATAGTCCCAAAATCTATAGCGATGACGGACGGACGGACGGACGGAAGGAAGGAAGGACAGACACAGCCCGCTTATATTATAGACTAGCTGCATCCCGTGCTCCGCCACGGTAAATCTTTTTTAAATGTACCAACTTTGGAACAGAACAAACCAAACAAAAACAACACAAACACAAAAAACACAACCACAAACACAACACAACCACAACACAACCACAACACAACCACAACACAAACACAACACAACACAACACAACTACAACACAACCACAACAAAAACACAACCACAACAAAAACACAACCACAACACAGCCACAACACAACCACAACACAACCAAAAAACAACCACAATACAACCACAACACAACCACAACACAACCAAAAAAAAAAAACAACACAACCACAACATTAGAATCACCACCAAACAACACGCTTTTTAGGCGTCCGCGCCCAAAGAGACCCTTTCCAACATTAAAAATTTAAGTCACATAAATAGATCCTACTCCATAACTTACAATAAAACAATGCGATGCAAATGAATGTACGGCAAGTGGTGTTTACTTTTATGGTTCTAAGAAAACACATTGGCAATGTAATTAGAATTACCACCGAAAATCACGCTTTTCCCAGGCGTCCGCGCCCAGAGAGAGTCTTTCCACCATTCTCTATATTATAATTATAAAACTTCACCATCTGTTAGCACCAAAAAACAAAAACAAAAAATAGTGATTTTGAGAAATCATAGACTAATTAGAAAATAATATAAATAATCTTAACATTTTTCTCTTTTAATTATGAACCTTAACATAGACTAATCAATGCGGTAGTAATAAAAAAAAGATTAACTTAAATTATTGTTGAGTTAAATATATTTTTAAATTACCTCCCTTGAAACAATTACCACAAAAAAAAAAGTGGAATTAATTAGCCTTTTCGACCTACTTTTATGGAAATGTATCCATTTTTTCTAGGAATATAAACTAAAATGATATTTGACATTAATCTTTTTAATACGTTTTAGCAGTTTGCGTGTATTTAATATTTTCTTGACGTTATGCGAAAGAGTAAAAACCGTGGCAATTATAAAATAGCTCTATGCCGCTATATAAACAAACCCTACTCTAATACTTATAATAAGACACTGCGGTGCACTGAAAAGCACAGCGTGGTGCGCAGTTTACTTTTATAGTCCCAAAATCTATAGCGATGACGGACGGAAGGAAGGAAGGAAGGACACGCTCTGCCCGCTTATATTATAGACTAGCTGCATCCCGTGCTCCGCCACGGTAAATCTTTTTTAAATGTACCAACTTTGGAACAGAACAAAACAAACAAAAACATAACACAAACACAAACAAAACACAACCACAACACAACCACAACACAACACAACAAAACAAACAAAAACATAACACAAACACAAACAAAACACAATCACAACACAACACAACCACAACACAACCACAACCACAACGACAACACAACCACAACATAACCACAACACAACACAACCACAAACACAACCACAACACAACCACAACACAACCACAACATAACCACAACACAACACAACCACAACACAACCACAACACAACACAACCACAACACAACCACAATACAACCACAACACAACACAACCACAACACAACCACAACACAACCACAACCACAACACAACCACAACACAACCACAACACAACACAACCACAACACAACCACAACAATAGAATCACCAACGAACAACACGCTTTTCTTAGGCATCCGCGCCCAGAGAGAGCCTTTCCAGCATTCTCTATACTATAATTCTAAATTTTCACCATCTGTTAACACCGAAAAACAAAAACAAAAAAATAGTGATTTTGAGAGATCATAGTCTAATTAGAAAATAATGTAAATAATCTTAACATTTTTTCTATTTTACTTAACATATAATAATCAATGTGGAAGTAATAAAAAAAATTAACTTAATTTATTGAGAGTGAGTTGAATATTTAAAAAAAAACATTTTCCCATACGTCCGCGCTCAGAGAGAGCCTTTCCATTATTCTCAAAAAGTCTAATTTCACCATCTGTTTTCATAACACCGAAAAACAAAAGCAAAAAGATAGTGATTTTAGAGAAATCATAGACTAATTAGAAAAAAATAATAAATAATATAAATAATCTTAACATTTTTCTCTTTTAATTATGAACATTAACATATACTAATCAATGCGGTAGTAATACAAAAAAGATTAACTTAAATTATTGAGATAAATATATTTTCAAATTACCTCCCTTGAAAAAAATTACCACAAAAAAAAGTTGAATTAATTAGTTTTTTCGACCTACTTTTATGGAAATGTATCCATTTTTTCTAGGAATATAAACTAAAATGATATTTGACATTGATCTTTTTAATATGTTTTAGCAATGTGCGAATATTTAATATTTTCATAACGTTATGCAAAAAAGTAAACACAGTGTCGTTTATAAAATAGCTCTATGCCGCTATATAAACAAACCCTACTCTAACACTTATAATAAGACACTGCGGTGCACTGAAAAGCACAGCATGGTGCGTAGTTTACTTTTATAGTCCCAAAATCTATAGCGATGACGGACGGACGGACGGACGGAAGGAAGGAAGGAAGGACAGACACAACCCGCTTATATAGATTCTCTTCTGGGATCAGTTAGAAAACAAGCTGCAAGTGCCTCCTTGCAGTCCCCTCTCTTTCTCTCTATCACTATCACTACCACCCCCCACCCCACCCCAACATTGTCTGGTGAGCGGTGTTCACTCTAAATTTTTACAAAGCTAAATGTTTACAAATCGAAGAGCCGTACAGCCGGGTTACTATTAGGGGCAGATAATTTAGTTCGATTTTAAACTTACAGGAGGTAACTAAGAGAAATAACTAAGAGGAGGTTGCTTTCACGGGGGAGGGGGGGGGGGGGGAGGGTCGGGGTTAGGGGAAAGTGGGGGGGGGGGGGGGTTAGTGTTTTAAAGCAAATATTTTCAGTGGCAGCATTGGTACTGCCGAATTTACAAATTATGAATTACTGAAAAGTAGAAAATAAAACAACTAAATAGCGGCGTATGATACGCTGCGGGCCGGCTCGTAAAAAATAATAAAGAAGATGGCTGCTACAATAAATGAGCATGGTTGCATCTGTTGGAAACATCGCTAGTCTTAATTTATTGCTGAAAAGTTTTAATTCAATTTTTAAAAAACAGGTACATAATGAAACAAGGAAACATTTTTGTATTTTTCAAAACATGAAATCCTCCTAAAAATTTGAAATGATTGTTCAATTTTAAGGAGTCACCTGTTTTTCACATTACTAGTCGCGGGCGATTTTACGTACCTAAAACGGTAGATTACCAAATAGAATAATAAAAAGTTATACGCCTACTAGATCTATTTTGTTTTCATAATTTGATCTAGTTAAATATCAGCTGGGGACGGAGTGGTTTCGTGATTTAGCGGTAGAGAGCTGGACCAGTTTCTTCCAGACTTTTTTTTCTCCGGGGGGGGAGGGGGGGCACTTGAAATTTTCGGGGGGGGGGGGGCAGTAGACTTTCTTCGGGGGGGGGGGGGGACACTGGGACACTGTTAAAAGTATATATTCTCTATATAAATTATATAAATTTCATTTCGTTCGGGGGGGGGGGGGGGCGGTAGAATATTTTCGAGTTCGAATCCGAGTTGAAGTCAGTAGACCGTCCCTGAGTCCACCCAACTCTGATGGGTGCTGACCACACTATCTCTTCATATGCCGAGGTCACAGAAACAAGTGAACTCTACTTCACTTGCCCCATACTTTACTTTACTTTATTAAATATCAGCTGATTATTGGTAACATCATACTTTATAGTATAGTAGACGAATACTTGTACTGAAAGTGAGTGTTAACACCAGATGCGTAGCGACCCTTCCCGGCGCCCGGGGACAAACTTTCGATTTGCCCCCCCCCCCCCCCCTCAAACTTTCAAACTTTCGATTTGCACCCCCCCCCCTCAAACTTTCAATTTGGTGCCCCCCCCCCTAAGGTCGGCGCCCGGGGAGATATGTATTCCCCCCCCCCTCGCGACGCCTCTGGTTAACACTTAAAGAATACATTCAATACATTCCACTCAGACAAGTTTCTCCCAAGGACAATTGTTTACGATTCGACATTTTGAGATTATTCGTGTAAGCTATTCTATGAGGTCAACAAAGTGAATAGATTTTTATGAGCTCGGGTTTTTCTTGTGTTTTTATAAAGTAAAAATTATAGCTAGACGGATTGTTTTATCGAATATCAGAGAAACTTTTAAAACGTGTAGACCCTCATGTGTGTTGGTATAGATAGCCAATCGACCTCTATTTAACACCGAACCTTGGTTTATTTAGCTTATTGGCAGTGGCGGATTGGGAAGTGGTGTCAAAAAGAGATAACATTATTGACGTCTGATAGTTACATGGTCTAGACATTGAGCTCATTAAATTAACTAATTAGGGAAATTTTAAAGCATTACGCAACGCAATTCTGTTACCTTTATTTGTAGTTATCGTATGCCACGTGAAAGTTTAGGTAAAATATTTGACTGTGTGCCACGTGAAAGTTTAGGTAAAATATTTGACTGTGTGCCACATGAAAGTATAGGTAAAATATTTGACCGTGTGCCACGTGAAAGTTTAGGTAAAATATTTGACCGTGTGCCACGTGAAAGTTTAGGTAAAATATTTGACTGTGTGCCACATGAAAGTTTAGGTAAAATATTTGACTGTGTGCCACGTGAAAGTTTAGGTAAAATATTTGTGTGCCACATAAAAGTTTAAGTAAAATATTTGACTGTATGCCACATAAAAGTTTAAGTAAAATATTTGACTGTGTGCCACATGAAAGTTTAGGTAAAATATTTGACTATATGCCACCATCTTGTTACAGATAGAGAGAGCCACACTAGTGCTGAACACGGACGTGGATATGGCTCTGTGTAAACGTGTGACGGACATGAAGTTTAAGATTGTTGAGGTAGAGCCGAGGCTGGTCGTAGAAAAAGAACACGTCTCATACAACGATATCCTCTCGATTGCCAAGCTGCTAAAAGACCGGTTCCAGTCTTCGGATAACGCGAGATCTGTGGTCTCAGAGAGTCGAGACACATCGTCAGATAGGAGGTCTATTGTTTCACACGGACGAGACACATCGTCAGATAGGAGGTCTATTGTTTCACATGGACGAGACACATCGTCAGATAGGAGGTCTATTGTTTCACACGGACGAGACACATCGTCAGATAGGAGGTCTATTGTTTCACATGGACGAGACACATCGTCAGATAGGAGGTCTATTGTTTTACACGGACGAGACACATCGTCAGATAGGAGGTCTATTGTTTCACACGGAAGAGACGCATCGTCAGATAGGAGATCTGTGGTCTCTCAAAGACGAGACACATCAACACAGCCATGTCTGCTAAGTCTGGCTGAAGCTAGCATGTTAAACAGTGACGTAGATAATCATTCTCGCCCTTCTGGTATCAAAGGCACACTCGACTTCCATGACGTCACATCTTTTATTGACAAGTCACGTGACGAATTTGGGATTCACAAAAATACAAACAGAACTTCCGGCAATAGCATACAAAACAAAACACAAGAGAAAAGAATTCGGACTTCAACAGGACATGAGAATAGCTTGGTGAGCGTCAACAAGCAACAGTCTCCCACTGGGGTAGCTGGTGGCATTGAAAGCTTGCATGACAACACACCTATCTGCCACTCAGAGGAACATCAGTCAGGTACACACAATGATCCAGGAAACAACTCGAAAACAAACAGCGATTTAGAAACGTCAGTTGCCGTTGGTACTTCGAATACAGATTGTTTCTCTGATCCTGACAATGAGCCTGAAGAACAAAGAATTTTAGCGTTAAACCCAGGCACTAGCACCGTCGTCAGTGAAGGAGCAAGCGATGAGGTTGATGAAGACAGAGACAAGATACCAACTGGAAGAGATGCATTTGTAGGCGGGGTTGAGAAGAGGCAAGCCAGTTTAGACACACACAGTAGGTCAAGTAGGGGAGAGATGAAACATACGGGACCAGGGGCAGGCAGGTCTAAAGGGTTTGGATATTCTGAGGAACAGGGTGCACAAACACACACATTGGATACAATACACTCCAACGGCCTTCATGACTCTGAAAGCGATGACAACGGCGAACACACATTGGATACAATACACTCCAACGGCCTTCATGACTCTGAAAGCGATGACAACGGCGAACACACATTGGATACAATACACTCCAACGGCCTTCATGACTCTGAAAGCGATGACAACGGCGAACACACATTGGATACAATACACTCCAACGGCCTTCATGACTCTGAAAGCGATGACAACGGCGAACACACATTGGATACAATACACTCCAACGGCCTCCATGACTCTGAAAGCGATGACAACGGCGATGAAAATCTACCCCCAGAGCAGAATGGGGACCATAGAGGATTTGTCAGTGATAATACAACGGAAGAAGAAAATGGAGGGGAAATAACTAAGGCAACTTTTCGTAAAGAAGTTGTCGAACCTTACAATACTTTGAGTGATGAAGAGGGCACAAAATCCTCGACTTTGGCTGGTATGAAGGAAACAGAAACTGATGGCGAACACACGGACAAAACTAAAGTGTTGGAGGAAAACTGGGACGTTACGAGAGACAAGGCAAATTGTACAATGGTGAAGGACAAGAAAGATAATATACAAGATAACAAAACAATTGCACGTTTAGAAGCAAACAATGTTGGAGGTGAGGTAGACATTGAAGGGAACACAACCCAGCAGAATTTAACTGAAAGACTGCCTGAAACATCTCAACAGAATTTAACTGAAAAACTGCCTGAAACATCACAGCAGAATTTAACTGAAATACTGACTGACTCCGACGATGATTCGTCTAGTGATGGCGACAGCACAGATTTGGAAGAAAAAACAATTGTTTTAAAAAAAGACGAATTCAACGCAGCAAAGTACTACTTTAAGAACACCGAATTCTCATCACGTTTAACTTCACAAGCTGTCGATCTCAATTTGAAGGAAAAAACGGATGCAGAACTGGCAGAAAAACTTGCGAGGTTTAAAGTTATTCGAGTTCCAGTCACGGGACTCAGCCAGGGCGATCTTGAAGAGATGCTGGAGGAGTTTGTGAGATCCCCAAGTGACAAGGTCAAGGTGAAGGTTTTTGTGAATGACGTAGTACTTATGGGACCCGCCGAGAAAGTTCTGGAAGCCAAAAGAAAAATTCTATCAAAATGTGAGTTTCCGGACAAGACCAGTGACAGTCAACAGATGGGAACCAGTAACATAGAGCCGTCTGCTACACGTTTGGTCAAACACGCAGCAGACGACAGACATTTCTTCTCCCTAGACAATTCTAACACAGCAGAGCATGGTTCTCGCCAAGGTGATCCTTACGGCAGCTTACAAGTGTTTCATGAACACGCCATTGCCGGGCATAGTCTATCAGATTTTCAAAGTTCACGTAGCTTTAGAGATCAACCTAAGGTTTATATGGGCCATAACAATCCAAGTCTTTCAGTGTATGTAGCTAATGCAGATATCACCCAGATGTCGGTAGATGTTATAGTAAGTGCCGCCAACACCAAATTAAAACATCATGGAGGCGTGGCTAAGGCTATAGCAGCAGCGGCCGGTCCGGATATGACTCAAGAGTGCGACACGTTCATTGGTCAACACGGCCAGCTTGACGTCACTGATGTGTTTGTTTCCGGTGCAGGGAGACTCCAGGTGTCAAAGGTCATACATGCCGTGGCACCGGTGTACAAGATGTACGTCGACAAGGTCAAGTGTGTGACCGACCTAAGGCAGACGGTGCTCAGGTGCCTGGTGGAAGCTTCCAGACTTGGGATGTCTTCCATTGCTTTACCGTCAGTCAGTGCAGGTAATTCAATAGCCTAGTGCAGGTAATTCAATAGCCAAGTGCAGGTAATTCAATAGCCTAGTGCAGGTAATTCAATAGCCTAGTGCAGTTAATTCAATACCCTAGTGCAGGTTATTCAATAGCCAAGTGCAGGTTATTCTATAGCCTAGTGCAGGTAATTCAATAGCCTAGTGCAGGTAATTCAATAGCCTAGTGCAGGTAATTCAATAGCCTAGTGCAGGTAATTCAATAGCCTAGTGCAGGTTATTCTAAGCCTAGTGCAGGTAATTCAATAGCCAAGTGCAGGTAATTCAATAGCCTAGTGCAGGTAATTCAATAGCCAAGTGCAGGTAATTCAATAGCCTAGTGCAGGTAATTCAATAGTCTAGTGCAGGTAATTCAATAACCTAGTGCAGGTAATTCAATAGTCTAGTGCAGGTAATTCAATAGCCAAGTGCAGGTAATTCAATAGCCTAGTGCAGGTAATTCAATAGTCTAGTGCAGGTAATTCAATAACCTAGTGCAGGTAATTCAATAGTCTAGTGCAGGTAATTCAACAGCCTAGTGCAGGCAATTCAATAGCCTATAATTCAGTAGTCTAGTGCAGGTAATTCAGTAGCCTAGTGCAGGTAATTCAATTAGCCTAGTGCAGGTAATTCAGTAGCCTAGTGCAGGTAATTAAATAGCCTAGTGCAGGTAATTCAGTAGCCTAGTGCAGGTAATTCAATAGCCTATTGCAGGTAATTCAATAGCCAAGTGCAGGTAATTCAATAGCCTAGTGCAGGTAATTCAATAGCCTAGTGCAGGTAATTCAATAGCCAAGTGCAGGTAATTCAATGGCCAAGTGCAGGTAATTCAATAGCCTAGTGCAGGTAATTCAATAGCCTACAGTTCTGTCAGTCCGTCTCTTTATCTAGTACAGAACTTCATTTAATCGACCTAATCACAATTTGACATGTCATATATGTTAAAGGTATACTCGAGGTGTTATTTATACTACATACACAGACCTTAATCCAAACCTTCTATAGCATGCAGATATGTGTATGGGCTGTTGAAGTAAACACTGGACATACACCTACAGTGACTATACCCATGCTTGTTACATAATCCATGTAGGCCCTATATATCTGAATAAATGAGTTTTTTTTTACCAAAAACATTTTAGCACAATTTTTTTTAGAAAATTGGTATTTATTCCCCAAAAATATGACAAGCTTAAAAATAGACCTCATGTAAGAACAATTTATGTTTTAGTCCCTATTGGATTACTATTTTTAGCCGTCTCTTCATTTTTTCTGAGGACAAGTTCGAAGCTTTTAATTGATTGTTTCATGAAACTTTAACAAAATTTTTTTTTTTAATTACCTAATATACATTTTCTAAGTCTCTTCTTCATTCTTTCAATCTTTTCCAGCTGTGTTTAAAACTCATGAAGAAAAATGTGCCCAGTGCTATATGGAGGCGGTAAAACACTACGATTATTTTATCCATGAACTCAACCTTCAGCCGGTCAAAAAAGTTCAATTTGTTGATGTGGATACCAACATGGTGAACACAACGCAAGAATATTTCCTCAAACACTGGCACCAACCTCCTGACAGGAGGCTGGTACAGATGGATTTGGAATTTTCCAGAAAACATTTAAAGAAAGTATCAAAATCTGTTACATCTCAAGGTGCAAATGGTTTTAAAAATGTTGAATTTATTGTCGGGGATATAAGTCTGGTAGTAACAACAGACCCAGCATTGAGTTTAAGTTCAGAAATGACTGTAGTCTTTGGTGACGTGTTTGATGCATTGAGTAATAGACCAGGTTTCAAGGCTAAGGAACAAGTCAGGGACGTGAAACACTTACCCAAGATAAAAGACCGTTTGAAATTTGTTAAATTAAACAGACCAGGCGGGTCTGAAATGGGCACTCTCTGTGTTGTGTCACCACAGCCTCAAAGTTTGAGAGACATTGATGTCTGCTTTGAAAATTTAAAATTGGCAACGGATCAGTTTAATAGCGCTGGAATAAGGAGTTTAACTTTTACATCCAAGTTATTTTATTTGGGTAAGATTAACTCTCTTAGATTACTTCATTATGATCATTCATTGACCAAACTTCATTATAATTTACATCTCTCTTTGTGTATGTTAGTTCTGTCATTATCTATCTGATGATTGGAATTACTTATTTATTTTACTGGTATTATTAGCCCTAACCTAACAGTCATTGATACTTGAGCACAAAATCACTTAGTACATTACTGTATGGCTCAACAAGGTTTTCTTTATAATTTTTTTTTTCTTACAATAACTTAATGTATTTTCATCTTTTTAATTTCCCTTAGAGAAAACACTGATCAAGCAGTCATTATTGGAAAGGTTTGTCCATCTTGTCGTTGAGTTTGTTGAGGAGATGGATTTTGACCATGATTCCTCGCTGAAGACTGCACTGGTGGCTGCTAATGAGATGACCGCCACAAGTTTGACCAAAGAATTTGATTCACATAGGATTGAAAGAAAAGTTGATAGAGGTATCATTCATTGATCAGAATGTTAGATTCTATTTTGTCTGGGAATGTTTTTGTAAACCTGCAAGAAATTTTTTTTATATCTTTTTCAGTGACTTTACATATTAACTTTAGTTTTAAATTATCCTTTCCTTTTTTTGTATAGTGACCATATCATATTTTTTATTCATAAAAGGTCTCCAAGATTATTTGCCGCAAGATGAAGCTGGATATTTAGACGAGCTACTTAATTCTTCTGGAAACCTTTTATCAGCCACATTTCCTGAGAGTCTGGGTGGTATACAGGGCGCCTGTGGTGGGGATTCCCCACCAAGGGCATGGTATTTATCTTCCCTTTACGACCACTTAAGCCGCCTAGTTGGAACAAGTTCGTCTGAAAAAAATAGAAAAGATAAAGACAGAGAAGAGAAAAAAATCCCCCCAGTCAAGAATGGTCAAAAAAATGAAAAAGATGAACAAGAGAAAGAACTGAAAGATTCAGGTTTGTTATACAGTACAAATCTAAGAATTTGGTTATTTATAGTGCATTTTAAAATAATATACATTTTATTATTGTAACATATACATCTTTTAATTTGGGTCTACATTGTTCATTTTTTCATAAGATTAAACTGCATACAGCCATCTATTAATATTAATTTTCTACCCATGTTTAAATAATTTTTTTTACCCAAGTCATTGTTATCTGCTGAAAAATTAGGAAATTCCTGGCAGAAAAGCCAAAATGTAGGTCATACATTTTAGTATTACTATTACCCTTATATAATGTGGCAGATTAAAATCCGCCCCCCCCCACACACACACACTCCCCCATCCACTCCCTAGTCTTACACATCAAGAACAAATGCCAAAACTTATCTTAACATCACCATGTTCCAAACACCTCTTCCTACAATAAAAATTCTAATGAAATGAAAACCTTTTAAAGTTATTCTAAACAACTTCATTTAGAACCCTAACTGACATAAGTGTGTGATATCTTATAACATATCTAGAATAATAAACCTTCTCTTTCCTTCTGTGTTATTAGCTGGGCTGGACAATGCCTGTGTAATTTGTTATGAGAAAGACACTTCCATCATTTTGCCATGCTGTAAAGCCAGGATTTGTTCATCATGTAAGACTAAAGTACAGTTATGTCCCTTTTGTCGAAAATCCTTGGAAATACTAACTGGCGTCCAGCCAGATGGCAATATGGATGTGGATTTATGTGAAGGAGATAAATATTGGAAAATTACATATCGTTTCCCACCTGGCTTTCAAAAGGTAGCCTTTTTATGTTATTTGATATTCTTTTTACCACAAGTATGTTTTAGTCCATTTACATTTGTCTTATTTTAGATAAAAAAGAAATGTAAGCATATTCCACAGAAACTTATCCACTTAACCGTTAACATCAAAACTATACTAAAAATATCCTGGAATAGTTTTCTGTTTTAGATACCTTTTTCATTAGAATTTTCTGAAAGAGTCTTTTGGGAAGTGTGACATTAACCCCCCCCCCCCCCCCCCTCCAGTTCACTACTATTGATCCTATACATTATATGGATAGGGAGATAGGGAACTTGATAAGTATATAATAATAATAAATAGTGTTGGATATTAATGTAATTAATTATAATTAACTTAATTACAAATCTACACAATGGCATATAGATTAAAGCTTACTATTACTTTGATCAAATCAAGGCCCACCACCCTCATCCAGGAAAGCTATACATCGGCACAACAAGAACAGCTTACATCCCTTCAACCGAAGAGGGCTTCGAGACATTGTTGTTATTGCGGCTTGCATTTAAAAGACGCTTGACCTTTACTATTGGCAAATCCTTGATGATGAACAAAGATGATATGATCACATGGAATGACATCCATCACAAAACAAGTCCGGTGGCAGGAACGTACGTATTACATTGGATCATAAACATTATGTACTAAAGTTTCATTCATCAATAAGATTCATGACTATAGGGCTGGTAAGTAGGTCACCAACCAGTTCTATGGCTCATGCAGGTTTTACTGAGCAGTAGAACTGATTGGTGACCTACTTACCAGCCCTATTGACACAAAACTGTTTCTTCCCTTAATAATACGTTAAATTATTTTATGCATTTTTCCTCAAGAAATGAGGTTGCACAATTAAAAATATTATCAAAGAAATAAAAATTGTCAAAGAAATAAATAACATCGCATAATTTTCTAACTAATCTTTGAATATTGTATTCACTGCTATTAAGCTCAATGTTTTTTTTTAAATATAAAAAATGTGAGTAGTAAAGCAACATTTGAAAAAAAATACATTTTTTAACTAGTATCTCAATGACAGTTATTCAAGGGGAAATTTTTTTTTGCGACTTTAGATTAATTTTTATGTAAAAAATAAAGTTAATGTTTTTAAATTCCTCAGATATGGCTATCCAGATCCCACATACTTGGAACGAGTCAACCAAGAGTTATCTAACAAAGGAGTTACTACAGACAGCATGTCTGCAGATGAGAGACAGGACATAGATACATTTTCTAATAGTCTTAAAACAAACCAGAGATTTACTGATAGTGTTTAACTCAATCAAGTAAGCCTATCCTGCTCTATATGACTACTGCTGTTTTTCTTACAATACAGGGCTCAGTTATTTATTTAATTTTTACAAATTTTAAATTATTATGATCAAAAGATATGTTAAGAAATGTATAAAAGAATAATATTAAAAATTGCTACATGAAATAGAATTTTTAGTATCCTTTGTATTTATACATATATATATTAAAAAAAAGATTAAATTAATAAAAATAATATATTACTAACTTTGAAATTGAATGCTATTTAAAATATATTGAAATATGGGATTGGCAAATGATTAATTATTTTCAAATCAAATTGTATTTATTCATTTCAAATCTCTTATTTAAAATTTTCTAAGATTTTTGTACATTTTTAATGCTTTTTGTTTTATTTGTGCAGCACATTTTGCTGCATTTCTAACTGGTCTTGAACTTTGCATTATTTAAGGGATTGATTATCTATATTAGTACATTATTCTCCTTACCTGTTTGTTTTTCATAAAACCCTCTTTTAAACCAAACTTAGTGTCTTTTGTGAACATTTTTAAAAGTTATATTTTCATTTATTATTGTAGCTCTTCTTTCTATCTTGTGACTTGAAATAAAGTATGAGTCACTGTTTTAATCTACAGTTTGTTTTGTTATATTTTGTTATATTTTATAAAGGATAAGACCAAACTTTTCATCCCAAGTGATAAAAATACTAAATTGTAATTAACACATGTTAATAGGTCTAAAAACGCTTCCAATGCTAATTTTAGAAAATACCACACAAAAAGTAATAGAAACTAAAACATGTCGAAACAAATCTATAAAAGTATACAAGATTTCTATAGAAAAATGAAAAAGAAATTAAGATGGAAGAAACAACATGTCAGCTTAAGTGGTTTAAGTTTCTTTTACAGCTACTACTTGTAATATGTATACCATCCATATCTAGGAAAAATGTATGTTTTGTTCAACTGATTAGCTGAATGTATGTATTGTCCAGCTGATCTGCTGAATGTATGTGTTGTTTAGCTTATGTACTGAATGTATGTGTTGTTTAGCTGATGTGCTGAATGTATGTGCTACTCAACTGATGTGCTGAATGTATGTGCTGTTGAGCTGATGTGCTGAATGTATGTGTTGTTTAGCTTATGTGCTGAATGTATGTGTTGTTCAGCTGATGTGCTGAATGTATGTGTTGTTTAGCTGATGTGCTGAATGTATGTGTTGTTTAGCTTATGTACTGAATGTATGTGTTGTTTAGCTGATGTGCTGAATGTATGTGTTAATCAACTGAAGTGCTGAGAATAACAACATTCACCAGGTTGTTCAAATTTCCCTCTGTCCAAAAGCCTCTTCCTTTCTCCTTGATGGCACCTGCCTGAAGCTAAACTGTGACAATATGAGATCACAGATTTACTTTCTCTTTAGAAATTTTAAAAATAATTTCATAGTCACATTTGGAACATTGTAATGCTATTTGACTTTCAAGCCCTCAAAGTATTTCCTGGGTTAGGACATTTTTTTAGGACAACTTTAATTTTGGCTCAATATGTTAAAAGATTCACCACAAGGGCATTGATGGATGAATAATAAATAAAACATCTTTAATGTTGAAAATTTAATATCCACTGATGCTTCTAGATATCTAGAGAATAATTGAGTGAAGTGATTGATGATGGCAGGCTTCATCCCAGGAAAGATAATTAATTTGAAGGCATAGATAATCTATAGATAATCTGGTGAGCTATATCATCAGCCCTATGCTTTTTGATGTGTTAATTGAATTACTAAGATTGATCATGATACTGAATAGACAGGGAAAACATTGCATTCTACATTATCCAATAATCTTTAAATTGTAAATTAAATATTTCTATTATTATAATTCCTATATTAAAAAAGAAACCTAATTGTTTTTGTTTACAATAGTAAACACAGAGGCGTAGGAAGGGGGGGGGGTAGGGGGTGCAGACCGCACCGGGTGACACCATTTAGGGGGGTGACACCAAGGCAAAAAAATAGCAAAATATATAGAGAAAAATGATAATTCCACTTAATTAAGTGATTAATTCGAGTGTTAAATAGTGTTTTAAGAGGTGCAAATCAAAAGTTTGTGGGGGGGGGGGGGTCGCTACACCTCTGGGGGGTGACACCATTAAGTGGCGCACCGGGTGACACGCGACCTCGCTACGCCACTGAGTAAACACATTTGTTGCTGAACTATATTGAAAAGTATTCCTTAAAGCCTTAAAACACCAAACACTTTAACTTTAAAGGCTCAGCTATAAAGCTTATGATTGATTTCCTCATTTGTGTGTTTTAATTATTATCAGCTTTTAATGAAAATTTTATTTTTTATTTACATCCCCCTATAATAATTTCTTGAAATATTTTAATTTAATTATTTAAATATATTCGGCCACACACATAAGGTTATCAATTGACAGCATCTTGTAGCAAACATAAGTGGAACCCATGCCTATAAGGATGGGCTTTCAAATTATTTAAAAAGGATATTATTATTTATATGCAAACTTGTGAGACAGCTGCATGTTAAGTTAGTTAATAAATATATTTAACAAATAACTGTACAGAATTAGTATTTTTAAAACTTTGATAATAAATCTAGGGTCTATTAATTATCCTTTAAAAATTACTTCGTAATTATAATATTTTTCAAGTATAATTTAAAAATTAATTTTGTTATATATTATTATTATCAAGCTATCTTTTCTGAACTCAATGCATTATTTAATAACTTTTGTCTTTGGTTTCTGAATCCCTTTTGTCGTATGCCTCTTACTTGGTTTGGAAATATGCCAACCTTTTATTTTTTTTATTGCCCATCAAATGGGGTCAAATAATTCATAAAGTATAAATGAACGCGAAATTTTGTTGTTGTATCATAAACCTAACATTATATATAATAAAAAAAGTTTGTATAATTGTAGCGTTTTCTTTTATACAATAATGTACAAGATATTAAATTTTAAATAATATTTTCTTTACTGAGTATCTTTTTGTTTCATTGCAATTATAAACACATAATTTTGTTTTATTAAAATTAGGTTTAAAGTAATATTATTGAAGTAAATTAGCTACAAATAAATATATAAAGTATTTATAACTTGTAATAGAGTTCTGTCCCATATTTTTTCAAAAATAGAATTACTTCCCTTTATTAAAAAACATTTTTTTAAATAGCATCACCGTTATTTCATTTTAATAAATAACAATTAAAAAAAATTATTCCAGCGTAAATTTTAATATCATAGTCGTGGTTAGAGTTTTAGCTTATTATGATAAAACATAAATTAAGAGGTTGAATGTGGTCTGACATATGATGTCCACCAGTGTAATTGGTCTAGAGCAGCGGATGCAAAGCATTTTGTCTCTGTACCTCCCTAGTAAAACGAATCACACTTTGCCCCTCCCCCTCCAATGGATCTTAGAACTTCATCTAATAAGTTGTAGCGTTTCGCCAATAAACTACAACGTCTCCTTGATAAACTTTGGTGCTTCCCCAACTAATATCGGCGCCTTCCCACCTTCCTTCAAATTTTATAGAATTTTGCCAACACGCTTTTACCTATCCATCTAATCAAAGCTATTATATGATAGTACATATCTACGGAACTTCCCAGCTTTGAGATTTCAATTACCTTTCGGCTCCATAGTCTTTGTTTTAGTTATCTCCCTTTACCGTGTTCCTTAGAGTTGTCCTTCGCGTATCCTGTATTTTAAAATTTGTATCTAGGTCGTGTTTGATACTGCCCGAATTCCAGACCAGTTTTTGCCAGTTATCAAGCACATGTTTTAATGCCAGGCTCTATATAGCTCGGCTGGTCGCTGGAATTAATGATTAGTACGGATTCAGGTTGTAAGTATGTACATAAAAGTAAAATAGGCACTAATCATTTTCTTTTTCAGGGCACATGTATTTATCACTGTACATATGTATGATATTATTTTGAAAAAAAAAAAAAACAAAAAAAAAAAACAAACAAACATGTATATATATATATATATATATATATATATATATATATATATATATATATATATATATATATATATATATATATATATATATATATATATATATATATATATATATATATATATATATATATATATATAAAGTGTATATAATTACCCTTTTATCTCGCCTCTGTACATATGAGTTTGTTCCCTTTCTTTCATGTCTTGTCCGTATCAGAGACTATCCGTTGCGACGGGTGAGGGGTTTGGCCTGTGATGAAAACCAAAAAAGTAAAATAAAAACAAGCGTTTCGGAGAAGGCTCCCCTTCAAAGTACGCACCCTTTCTGAGGTCAAAAAAAAAAAAAAAAAAAAAAATTGATTCCATAAGATTGTATACATATTGAAGAAAAGTTTAAAAATAATATATAACAATGCACATAGTCATTTATTAATATACAACAGTGTTACAAGCGCTTTTCACATACAGAAATCAGTTAGACAAGGTTGTCCTTTATCTCCCCTACTATACATCCTCAGTTTAAAACCCCTACTAGAAAACATTAGACAGGACAACTCGATTAAAGGACTGTACATTCCAAACACGGTAGGCAAGAAAATACTTGCATACGCAGACGACACTACTTTCTTAGTACAAACAGAAAAAGCAATACAGACTGTAATAGAAAAATTCAACAACTTTGGGAAAGGAAGCGGGGGAAAAATAAACGCAGAAAAATCAAAAGTAATGGGTATAGGTAAATGGAAAGGTAAAGATAACTATCACATAGACATAACAATAACTGACAAACTCAGAATTTATGGAATAACCTATACCAGCGATCCCATAATAAACGACCAAGAAGCTTGGACCACACTGAAAAATAAAATAAATAACAATCTGGAAAAATACCAATACTGCAATACAACCATTTTGGCCAGAGCTGCATTAGTTAGCAGATATATCATTCCAAAAATAATTTTCGTAGCGACGAACTCTACAATACCCAACTCATTTATTAAAAAAACAAACAAGCACATTAGAGAGTTCATTTTCAAAAACACGATTAGAAACATTAGCCACAAAACCTTAATACAAAATAAATTAAATGGAGGTATAGGGCTACATGACATTCAAACTAAAATAAACACCTTCCGATTAAAACACCTGGATTAAACATAAAGAGTATTTTAAAATTAAACATCATAACACCACACTATGGGGGAAATGACATAGGCAGCTTTTATAAAGAAACGCTAGCAACATTCAAAGGAAACAAAAGCATTATTGGGGAAGACACAAAAAAAAATATACGACATCCTAATCAAACAACAAGCGACACCCTTATACACGAGAATTAGTTGGGCCAGGGAACACAATATAATAGACATTAAAGATACATTTAGAAACCTACATAATAAACGCATTACACCAAAGGAAAGGGAAGTAGCTTACAGACTGATTTTTAATACAACTCCAGTTTCACGAAATACAAAGTCAAATCAAAATGTTAAAATAACATGTCAAACGTGTAAACAAAATATACAAGAAACTGAGAAACACATTTATTTAGATTGTATATTAGTACAGAAAGCAAACCAAACACTTGCGAAAATATTAAACACCACCAATCAAACAGCTACAACAAATAAAGCAATCACACTTAATTTAATTAACACGACTAGACAAAGAAAAGACGAAAACAGACTAGTAGCAACGGCTATTTATAGATCGACTATATGGCAAATCTAATATATAAAGCTCAGTTCTGTATGTAACGCATATGTTTGTCGTTGGTCTTGGATGGATTTAAGTGTTAGAAAATCATCGTGCGCATTTGTCTAAATTTATGAGTTAAAAATTACTATTGAAAGTGTTGGGAAATAATTTTCATTTTTCAAATTATAGTAATAATTGTCGGCATGTTCATTAAACACAAGTTTTAAAAAAATATCATCTTTTACAACAATTCTAACTATGTCTTTATTTAGTCCTATAGCACTTACTTCCCTTTGATAAATTAGGAAAACACAATTACTTCCCTTTATAAAACCATTGCATTTACTTTTTATTACTTTGTTTTTGGTGTTGGGAAAAAAAAATAATTACATAATTAGCGGGGATTGATCAAGTGCAAATGTTGTAGGTATTTTACGGATAAGCTTGGAGTATTAAAATTGTTCATTAAATTGAAACAGGCGCGTTCGTTTAAGTGAGTGCAAAAGACTATGAATAAGTTGGGGTACTATAGTCGTTCATTAAGCTAAAACAGGTGATTCCGCCCCGGGCGTTTATGTTCGCGTTAGTGTTTTCTTTGTGTTTAGGTGGGTTTGCGTTAGTGGTTGCGTTTTGATTTGGTTCGTTTTTGTTCTTTCTTTTTTCATTTTTGTTTGTGTTTTTTTGTTTGGGTTTGTATTTGTGTTTTTGGTTGGTTTTGCGTTTGGATTTGGTTTGTTTTCGTTTGCTTTTTCGTTGTTTTTTTTTTTTGTTGGTATTGGTGTTTGTGGTTGGGTTTGTTGTTAGGTGTTTGTTTTCGTTTGCTTTTTTGTTTGTTTTTTCTTTGTGTTTGTATTGGTGTTTGTGGTTGTGGTTGGGTTTGTTGTTAGGTTTTTGTTTTCGTTTGTATTTGTAATTGTGTTAGCGTTATGTTTGCGTTTTGTTGTTTTGTTTGGTTGTGGTTTGGGTGGGCAATGCCGGGTTTATGATGATTACTAAGCACACAGGTAGTGGTCTTTAACAGAAGGGTTTTTCACAGAAGCCAGAGCAGGGCCTGGCCGGGACGGCTAGTTAGGAATAAAGTCGGATATTTTTTCACAAAATACACGGACATCGAGTGAAAAGAAATTTTCAAGCAGAGCCAAGACATAGACTGGGAACTCACACTTAACAGAGAAAAAAAATGTACAGGAAAGTAATTACTAAGGTATTTCTATGGTTTGGAATTATGCCCGTCGAATGGGGTCAAATAATGCTTAAATCAACGCGGCTTCTGCGTCCGTTGTATTCCATCAACGTCTCAATCCACTTCATTATATGTAATAAAAAAAAGTTTGTAAAAGTTTAACGTTTTCTTTTATACAATAATGTACAAAATGTTAAATTTAAAATAATATTTTCTTTACTGAGTGTCTTTTTATTTCATTGCAATTTTAAAAACACAATTTGATTGTATTAAAATTGAGTTAAAATACTAATATTTACGTAAATTAGCTACAAAATAAATATATGAAATATTTATGACTTTTAATCGAGTTCTGTCCCATATTTTTTCAAAAATAGAATTACTTCCCTTTATTTAAAAAACATATTTTAACTAGCATCACAGTTATTGCATTTTAAAAATAACAATTAAAAAAATTATTCCTGCGTAAATTTTAATATAGTCGAGGTTAGAGTTTTAGCTTAACATGATAAAACATAACTTAAGACTTTGAATGTGGTCTGACATTTGACGTCCACCAGTGTAATTGGTCTAGAGCAGCGGATGCAAAGCATTTTGTCTCTGTACCTCCCTAGTAAAACGAATCACACTTTGCCCCTCCCCCTCCAATGGATCTTAGAACTTCATCTAATAAGTTGTAGCGTTTCGCCAATAAACTACAACGTCTCCTTGGTAAACTTTTGTGCTTCCCCAAATAATATCGGCGCCTTCCCACCTTCCTTCAAATTTTATAGAATTTTGCCAACACGTTTTTACCTATCCATCTAATCAAAGCTCTAATGTGGTAGTACATATCTACGGAACTTCCCAGCTTTAAGATTTCAGTTACCTTTCGGCTCCATAGTCTTTGTTTTAGTTATCTCCCTTTACCGTGTTCCTTAGAGTTGTCCTTCGCGTATCCTGTATTTTAAAATTTGTATCTAGGTCGTGTTTGATACTGCCCGAATTCCAGACCAGTTTTTGCCAGTTATCAAGCACATGTTTTAATGCCAGGCTCTATATAGCTCGGCTGGTCGCTGGAATTAATGATTAGTGCGGAGAAGGGAGATAATTTCCTGGTAAATGTCAGACCACAGTGCTACCACCGGCAGGGGTGACGTAGTGTGTCGTGTCACGAAGTGTGTCGTGTCACGAAGGGTACGCTACCCGGTTGACTCATGACATTTTACACACGGACTTAACACATTTAACCGTAAACAGTAAACTGTAAAAATCATTAAAGTAGGACAATTTAGATTATAACGAAACACACATTTAACCTTAGAAATTAGATTGTAAAAATTAGACTCTACTTTCTCAAAAAGCACAGTACGTTTGACTCTAGCTGTTCCATGAAGTAGTGGATGCACGCACTGTAGCAGCCCATTAAGCTATCTGCAAGATGTATCGCATATGGATTTTAATGTGTGCTTTGATCTTTCTTGAAGTATCTGGTAAGGCACGTAACTCTTTAGTGTTCAAATGACTGTGTTACTGTAGTTCCTTCCCTTACATTGATTTCACATTAACAGCACGTTTAAAAAAAAAATTCATCAAATGTATTTAATAGTATTTAATCCACCCTGCCCATTGAAAAGATATTTTAAATTAAATGGACAGGAGACCAGTGCTTGGGAAAACAAACCGGTTCAATTTCACAGTTTTAAGATATATTTTAACTAGCATTTTAATACCAAACTGTATTACTGTTCGCAACAAAAAAAACAATATGTAGCCCAGTTAATTAATGAATTATTTAGAACCAACTGCTTTATTGAAGGGTCTATCTTTTTTTTTCTTTCATTTGATTGTCTGTTATAATATATATATAAATATAAATATATATATATATATATATATATATATATATATATATATATATATATATATATATATATATATATATATATATATATATATATATATATATATATATATATATATACACGTATTGGTTAAGATATGACTTTAACATGTGTATTGTGTTGACTTTAATGTTTTTTTTTTTTGTTTTTGTTCAGCTGACTTGAAGACATTTTGCAAAGAACAAGAGGAAGTCTTTAATGGCTGCTCATCTAGCATTGAACAGGTGTATTTGGCATCAGGTGATGATATAGAGCATCTCTGCAGGTAAGTCACCACCTGGAGAATCTGTGCAGGTAGATCATCATTTCATATTTTTCCAGTTCATCCTTGTAGGGTACTATAGTTCTAAAATGTTTACTACAAAAAGCAACTTTGCTTCAATGATATAGAGTTGTCAACAAACCCCGTCAAATATACATTAGTTTTTATTTTTTGAAGAGGATCCTTTTGAAGCGATTGGCCTCCTGATATAGGACTAAAGGATTGTACAAAAAAACTTAGTTTTTAAATAATTATTTTTCTCTTCATAAACTGTCATTTATTATATCAACTGATATTTCCGGTGTCTGAGATGGTGACTTTTGTTTACACAAATTCTGATGACGTACTTTACCTGTCTCCTTCAAGTGGACTGTCCAGCTACCTCAACTGTTTCCAAGACACAAAAATCACCTGCCCGAAACTCCCACGATTTGGAGACGATATTTTTCTAGAAGCAGTGGACAACACACGGGTGGTCTTCAACAAATATTGTGAGTAGTCACAACGAAATTTGGTGCACTGGTTCAGTGGCTTAGCGAGGTTGGGTGTCACACGGTGCGGCACCTGATGGTGTCACCCCCCCGTAAAAAAATGTATGCAAATATATATATATATATATATATATATATATATATATATATATATATATATATATATATATATATATATATATATATATATTCTATATACACTTGTATGCAGTGGCGTAGCGAGGTCGGGTGTCACCCGGTGCGGCACTTAATGGTGTCACCCCCAGAGGCGTTGCGACACTTCTCGGGGACAAACTTTCATGTTTTCGATTTGCACCCCCCCCCCCCCCTCAAACTTTCGATTTGCACCCCCCCTCAAGTTTTTCTCTATATATTTTGCTATTTTTTGCCTTGGTGTCACCCCCCTAAATGGTGTCACCCGGTGCGCTCCGCACCCCCCCGCCCCCCCCCTCGCTACGCCCCTGCTTGTATGTATGTGTATACGCATGTGTATATGTATTCAAATATTTGTTTACTGCTGGATGTATTTAACTTTTTTACCCCCCCCCCATACATGGATTAACATATAGCTTATTACGATTCACAACCAAACCGTTTTCCTCAGGCATATATATATTGCAAAGTTGAGTTGATGTAGCTCCCCCACCCCGGTCGTCACGGTGATTGCTTTAAACTGTGCTCAGATAATACTAACGATTTGCATCTATTTTCGGTTATAAATTCAGCTGGATGTTGCATGTTTTCTTTATCATTAGCAGGTTTACGTCATGGTGTCAACCCCCCCCCCCCCCCCAAACACACACACGTGTAGGGATTTGTCCACTTTGTTCTTAAAAGACTATTTAATTCACTCTAATTAGTAATTTAATTAAGTGAAATTATCATTTTTCTGTATATATTTTGCTATTTTTTGCCGTTGTGGCACCCCCTAAATGGTGTCACCCGGTGCGGTCCGCCCCCCCGCCCGCCCCCCCCCCCCCCCCTCGCTACGCCACTGCTCTGGTTGAAGAATGCCACGGTAATTAAACAGTTTTAATCGAGCGATGGAGTCCACGATATCTAATCCAAAAGTCTCGAGTTCGGATACAACCTAGAGTCTGTAGACGTACCATAGTCCGTCCAACTCTGATGAGTACATGCCTTATGCCGGGGGAGGGGGGTTGTAAAGGCGGCCGGGCACACTGCTGACCTCAGTTTATACATAGTGTGCTGATCACATTCGGAGGTCAGTGAAGCACATGAACTCTACTTCATCGGCCTAGCTAACAATCTGGCCTGAAAGGGTACTTTTTATTTGTCCATGATTTTTGGATACCAAAATTTAAAAAACAATAATGCAACAGTTGAGCAATATTTTAATAAACTTAAAAGTCGATATGTTTACATAGTACTAGTCAGATCTAAGAACGTGCCTTTCACGGTATGTGGTCGTCCGTGAATCACGTTAAGCTTTTTTGATCAGCCTCTAAACCTTCCGTGGGACGGAGTGGTCTAGCGGTAGAGAGCTGGACTGCTAACCCGTAAGTCTCAAGTTCGAAACCGTCCCTGAGTCCACCCAACTCTGATGGGTACCTAACTCACGTTAGGGAAAGTAAAGGCGGTTGGGCATAGTGCTGACCACACTATCTCTTCATATGCCGAGGTCACAGAAACAAGTGAACTCTACTTCACCTGCCCCGATTGACCGTCAGGTTTGAAAGGGAAACTTTACTTTTACTTTACTCTAACCCTCTCAGAATTGCCAAATGTCACGAAATTGCAGAGCGAGTTGATACATTAGGATAACTCAGAGGATTTTTCTTTTCTTAAGGGGATATAAACAAGTTAAGTTTTTTTCCCGAAAATATTAAGTTTTTTCCCTTTAGATGGAATTAAAAACACAATAATATTAATTAATGTGTAATTTTTCTACTTATGTTATTTAGCAGAAAACATCGTTAAAACACTTTGATCATTTTAGCATAGCCAGGTATTAAGTAGATTCTCTGATAAATTGTGTTACTATTTTACAAAACTTATTCAAAAGCGTCATTCATGGACAACCTCTGACAGCGAGCTACAGTTTTGTCTTAGACCTCAACACAGTGTGGTGGGACCAGCATTGTACTAGGTCGCAATGATTTTCTGTGGTGACAGTCAAGTACTCGTTACAGCTTCAAATTACCAAGTACAAACTCGGGAACCGAACTCAAGACTTCCGGCTTAGCAATGTGTGCTCTACCACTCTACCGCGATTGTTCAAAACTCACATGAGCTTTAATATTTGATGACAAATATGGGATGTTTAAAAAGTTGGACTTAAGAAAATGTCTGAACAAGGTCTTGTATTTTAGGCTCAGACTTGAAGGGATTGAATTTAAACACGAATTGTTCGACAGAAGTTGTCGCCCGTCTAGTTCGCCATTGTTTGAGTTTTATTAACCTGGTGCAGTCAGAGACACCCAGGGACAAGATGTGTCAGTAAGTTGTGTCAGTGGTGTCAGTAGTGTCAGTAAGTTGTGCCAGTAGTGTCATTAAGTTGTGTCAGTAGTGTCAGTAAGTTGTGTCAGTAGTGTCAGTAAATTGTGTCAGTAGTGTCAGTAAGTTGTGTCAGTAAGTTGTGTCAGTAGTGTCAGTAAGTTGTGTCAGTAGTGTCAGTAAGTTGTGTCAGTAGTGTCAGTAAGTTGAGTCAGTAGTGTCAGTAAGTTGTGTCAGTAGTGTCAGTAAGTTGTGTCAGTAGTGTCAGTAAGTTGTGTCAGTAGTGTCAGTAAGTTGTGTCAGTAAGTTGTGTCAGTAGTGTCAGTAAGTTGTGTCAGTAGTGTCAGTAAGTTGTGTCAGTACTTTCAGTAAGTTGTGTCAGTAGTGTCAGTAAGTTGTGTCAGTAGTGTCAGTAAGTTGTGTCAGTAGTGTCAGTAAGTTGTGTCAGTAGTGTCAGTAAGTTGTGTCAGTACTTTCAGTAAGTTGTGTCAGTAGTGTCAGTAAGTTGTGTCAGTAGTGTCAGTAAGTTGTGTCAGTAGTGTCAGTAAGTTGTGTCAGTAGTGTCAGTAAGTTGTGTCAGTAAGTTGTGTCAGTAGTGTCAGTAAGTTGTGTCAGTAGTGTCAGTAAGTTGTGTCAGTAGTGTCAGTAAGTTGTGTCAGTAGTGTCAGTAAGTTGTGTCAGTACTTTCAGTAAGTTGTGTCAGTAGTGTCAGTAAGTTGTGTCAGTAGTGTCAGTAAGTTGTGTCAGTACTTTCAGTAAGTTGTGTCAGTAGTGTCAGTAAGTTGTGTCAGTTGTGTCAGTAAGTTGTGTCAGTAGTGTCAGTAAGTTGTGTCAGTAGTGTCAGTCAGTAGTGTCAGTAAGTTGTGTCAGTTGTGTCAGTAAGTTGTGTCAGTAGTGTCAGTAGTGTCAGTAAGTTGTGTCAGTAGTGTCAGTAAGTTGTGTCAGTAGTGTCAGTAGTGTCAGTAAGTTGTGTCAGTAGTGTCAGTAAGTTGTGTCAGTAGTGTCAGTCAGTAGTGTCAGTAAGTTGTGTCAGTAGTGTCAGTAAGTTGTGTCAGTAGTGTCAGTAAGTTGTGTCAGTAGTGTCAGTAAGTTGTGTCAGTAGTGTCAGTCAGTAGTGTCAGTAAGTTGTGTCAGTAGTGTCAGTAGTGTCAGTAAGTTGTGTCAGTAGTGTCAGTAAGTTGTGTCAGTAGTGTCAGTAAGTTGTGTCAGTAGTGTCAGTAGTGTCAGTAAGTTGTGTCAGTAGTGTCAGTAAGTTGTGTCAGTAGTGTCAGTCAGTAGTGTCAGTAAGTTGTGTCAGTTGTGTCAGTAGTGTCAGTAAGTTGTGTCAGTAGTGTCAGTAAGTTGTGTCAGTAGTGTCAGTCAGTAGTGTCAGTAAGTTGTGTCAGTTGTGTCAGTAGTGTCAGTAAGTTGTGTCAATAGTGTCAGTAAGTTGAGTCAGTTAGTTGTATCAGTAAGTTGTAAGTAAGTTTGTCAGTAAGTTGTCAGTACGTTTGTCACTTGTGTCAGTAATTTTGTCAGTGCGTTTGTCAGTAACTTTGTCAGTAACTTTGTCAGTAACTTTGTCAGTAAGTTGTGTCAGTTATGTCAGTAAGTTTGTCAATAAGGTGTGTCAGTAAATAGTCAGTAAGTTTTCAAATCAACTTTACGATGGGATTTATTTTTTAAAAAACCTTCACTTTCTATGATAGATTAAAAACAAACCCACTTTTTATTAATTAAAATAGTCACGACAAATTGACAACGATCAATAACTTATTTTATTTATTTCCAATGATTCACAACTTTATTAGTATTTTTTCAACTACGGTACAGTATGATCAAACTAATGTATTGCCTCTCTAAACAGACTGAACAGCAAGTATTTGAAATGTCTGCAGGGAGCCACTAAAGTCTGCCAACAAAACAACAAGGAGTTCTTGAACCACAACATTCCACAGGTCATGTACAACACAGAGATGGTCATTAAAACGCTTTGTAAGCAAAAATCTCTACACACTTACATATATATATATATATATATATATATATATATATATATATATATATATATATATATATATATATATATATATATATATATATATATATATATATATATATATATATAATATTCTTTTTTATCTTAAATAATATTTATTATAATATTTCTAATCGTTTCAAAAATAAAGCTTCTGAAAATAAAACTATTTTTTCCTGTATTTGATTCCTGACGTTGCCATAGTAACCGTGTGTGCTCCATGCAGGTGAGGACATGCAGGGCGACGACCCCCGCGCCACGGCAGGTAAACCTGCAGAAAAACCTGTCAACCCTCGGGCCTGCACTGACCTAAAGGTCCAGTCTCAGGTCAACAAATGCAATGCCCACTTAGAGCAGCCGCCGGAAGTCGCTGCTGTCTCAGGATGCAGGTTCTAATCCTTGTTAAATCAGCATATCCATTTGTCACCTCTTGTCCGTGTATCCCACCCCCGCCGTCCCGTCCCCCACCCGTTGCAACTACAAACAGCCTAATTTTTAATTGAATTTTTCCAGAAGTGAGGTTGTGTAATGAACGGCTCGAAATTATGTGTCCATTTTATGTTAATTTGTTTTGTTACGTTAAATGTCACGTCTTTTTTTTGTTAATGTTTTTAATCAAATTTTATGCCAAGTTTAGTGTTCTGGTTGATTTCAAACGTTATTTCAAATTTTCTTTTTAAATTGTAACTTGTGTTTTGGTACTGTTTTAGTTCTGATTTTCTTTCAAGTTTTATGCTACGTTTCATGCATAGATACTAGTTACATTTGAATCTACGCTAACGTTCTGATATGTTACATCTGAATCTATTCTATCTGTCTGTTACATCTGAATCTATTCTGTCTGTCAGATATATTACATCTGAATCTATTCTATCTGTCAAATATGTTACATCTGAATCTATTCTATCTGTCTGTTACATCTGAATCTATTCTATCTGTCAGAGATGTTACATCTGAATCTATTCTATCTGTCAGGTATGTTACATCTGAATCTATTCTATCTATCAGATATGTTACATCTGAATCTATTCTATCTGTCAGAGATGTTACATCTGAATCTATTCTATCTGTCAAATATGTTACATCTGAATCTATTCTATCTGTCAGATATGTTACATCTGAATCTATTCTATGTGTCAAATATGTTACATCTGAATCTATTCTATCTGTCAGATATGTTACATCTGAATCTATTCTATCTGTCAGATATGTTACATCTGAATCTATTCTATCTGTCAGATATGTTACATCTGAATCTATTCTATCTGTCAGATATGTTACATCTGAATCTATTCTATCCGTCTGTTACATCTGAATCTATTCTATCTGTCACATATGTTACATCTGAATCTATTCTATCTGTCAAATATGTTACATCTGATTCTATTCTATCTGTCAGATATGTTACATATGAATCTATTCTGTCCGTCAGATATGTTACATCTGAATCTATCCTATCTGTCAGATATGGTACATCTGAATCTATTCTATCTGTCAGATATGTTACATCTGAATCTATTCTATCTGTCAGATATATTACATCTGAATCTATTCTATCGGTCAGATATGTTACATCTGAATCTATTCTATCTGTCAGATATGTTACATCTGAATCTATTCTATCTGTCAAATATGTTACATCTGAATCTATTCTATCTGTCTGTTACATCTGAATCTATTCTATCTGTCAGATATGTTACATCTGAATCTATTCTATCTGTCAGATATGTTACATCTGAATCTATTCTATCTGTCTGTTACATCTGAATCTATTCTATCTGTCAGATATATTACATCTGAATCTATTCTATCTGTCAGATATGTTACATCTGAATCTATTCTATCTGTCTGTTACATCTGAATCTATTCTATCTGTCAGATATGGTACATCTGAATCTATTCTATCTGTCAGATATGTTACATCTGAATCTATTCTATCTGTCTGTTACATCTGAATCTATTCTATCGGTCAAATATATTACATCTGAATCTATTCTATCTGTCAGATATGTTACATCTGAATCTATTCTATCTGTCAGATATATGACATCTGAATCTATTCTATCTGTCAGATATATGACATCTGAATCTATTCTATCTGTCAGATATGTTACATCTGAATCTATTCTATCTGTCTGTTACATCTGAATCTATTCTATCTGTCAGATATGTTACATCTGAATCTATTCTATCTGTCAGATATGTTACATCTGAATCTATTCTATCTGTCAGATCACAAAAGCTGTATCTGCAATGTATGGCCAAAGTCCAGAAGAACTGCCCAAGTGCTAAAGCCAAATACACGAAGGCTACCAGTGATGCCAAGAAAACGTTTGACAAATTATGTAAGAGGTTTTCCTGTCAATAGCGGTACTGCATCTAGCTGGTAGTCCTGTCAATAGCGGTACTATAGCGAGTCCATGTCGATTCTGAAATTCCTTCAGTTTTTTGGGTCGTATACAAATGACCTGTCTGGGACAGGTTGAAAGATGACGTATATTTTTAGGGGGTGGGGGGGGGTGACATTTTGTGACAGTGTACCCAAGGGGCGGGTAAAATGACATTACATCAACGTCCCCCCCCCCCCCCCAACTGTGAACCAGAATGTAGGCAAATGAAATAGATTTTTTTTTCTGTGAACTATACCAATGAGTAAATTTTTCCCTTATATCGATGTAAAGGCGAATGTTTCACTTATATCGATGTTAAGGTGAATGTTTCACCTATGTCGATGTAAAATTGATTGTTTCACTGATGTCAATGAAAAGGTAAATGTTTCACTTATATCAACCTAAAGGTGAATGTTTCCCTTGTATTGATCTACAGGCATCTCCCTGAAGTGCCCAGCTACTGTAGAGGATGGTCAGGACGATGTCGTCAGCTTCTGTCTGAAGGACCTTGAAGCTATTGAGGACCTGCCTGACCAATCTACCTACTGCAGGTACACGGATTTTTCTTAGCGTGATCTCATAGGGTGGGGTGTGATGTTGGAGGGGGTGAGGGTGGGGTGTGAAGGTAGGGGGGGAGGAGGGATGTGTGATGGTGGGGGGTGAGAGAGGTGTGATGGTGTGGGTGAGGGCGGGGGTGAGGTGTGGATGGTGGGGGAGTGATGCTGGGGGGGGGGGGGGGGTTAGGGGGTGGTGTGAATGTGGGGGGTGCGAGGGTAGATTGCTATGGTGGGAGTAGAGTTGTGATGGGGATGGGGTGTGATCATGAGTCCACCCAGCTCTGGTGACTACCTGACTTTCTTTAAGGAAAGTTAAGAAAGCTTGCCATAAAGCTGACCGCACTAACCCTAATAATAGATTACACAAACAGGTGAACTCTCCTTCATGAAACCCATGGACCTGTTAATCTATTTATAGACTGAAATTCCGCATTACAAACATAAAAGACTAACAAAAATTACCTTAACAAAACAAATTCAATTGCGAAGAAGTTTTATTTTTTAACGTGAACATTTTTTGACCGTCTCCTAGGAAGCTGAGTGACGTCAGGAAATGTATGACGTCAACACAGTCCAAGTGTTCAACACTGTCTGACGGTCAACGAGTGGACGAGGCTTTGGTCATGCTAACCTCTGTCTTTAAAAACAACTGTAGATAAACTGACCACTGGTCACAATTGAATAATACTCTTTAAAAAACAAATTGTTTTAGTTTCACATTTCGTAGTAAAACAAAAACAAAAGAAAGAAGATAATAGATGAAAGAAGTGTTGCAAGCTATTATTCAATATCTTTGTGAATTAAAGAATAAAAACACCACTTTGAAGACTTTATGATTTTATAAACAGATATGTTCTACTTAATTGCTTTTAAATAAAACTTGAATTTATCATTTTTGAGTGCTGATTTGCCACTTTGAGATTGATCGAACGTTGCCCAGTTTGATAATTAGCAATTTGTAATTTATTAATTAGTCAAGCCCAATGTCCGTCATTCCACGCTGTCAATTACTGCACATTCCATTCCCTCACTTAGCTGCCCGGAACCGTTGTTTTATCCTACTCCTCCAATCATGTCTAATTAACGATTAAGTGTTGACTACTTGACTCTTGCCTTCCTATACGTCCGTCTGAAGGCTGTGGTCAAGAGCGTGCCTCTATTCAACTTATTGTTTTAACTTCCTATCAAAGTCAACACTAATTAACATACTTTACTTCTATGTCTATGTCTATGTCTATGTCTATGTCTATGTCTATGTCTATGTCTATGTCTATGTCTATGTCTATGTCTATGTCTATGTCTATGTCTGTGTCTGTGTCTGTGTCTGTGTCTGTGTCTGTGTCTGTGTCTGTGTCTGTGTCTGTGTCTGTGTCTGTGTCTGTGTCTGTGTCTGTGTCTGTGTCTGTGTCTGTATCTGTGTCTGTGTCTGTGTCTGTGTCTGTGTCTGTGTCTGTGTCTGTGTCTGTGTCTGTGTCTGTGTCTGTGTCTGTGTCTGTGTCTGTACCTGTACCTGTACCTGTACCTGTACCTGTACCTGTACCTGTACCTGTGTCTGTGCCTGTGCCTGTGCCTGTGCCTGTGTCTGTGTCTGTGTCTGTGTCTGTGTCTGTGTCTGTGTCTGTGTCTGTGTCTGTGTCTGTGTCTGTGTCTGTGTCTGTACCTGTACCTGTACCTGTACCTGTACCTGTACCTGTACCTGTACCTGTACCTGTACCTGTGTCTGTGCCTGTGTCCGTGTCCGTGCAAGTGCCCGTGCCCGTGCCTACGCCCACGTCCACGTCCATGTCCATGTCCATGTCCATGTCCATGTCCAAGTCCAAGTCTATGTCTATGCCTGTCTATGTCTATTTAGAACTGAAATATTGCTGAACTATTTATGAGCCATGGGAATCTCTCCTTGATCTTGAATCTGATCTGACAGCAAGTAATAATTTACCTGCATGACCTGAACTTGACCCAAATTCTTGAGGCAAGCCATAGTATACGGCTTCCCCCCTTACGTGAATGGCCATACAATAAATATAACAGATCTACACTTGCCTATAAACATGGAGGTGAGGGAATTCCCGATTTCTGTTGCACATTCTGGGGTTAATGGAAGGGCAGTGGGTGAATTTGTCAAAATTATAGGGTCACTGGTCCAATATATATATATATATATATATATATATATATATATATATATATATATATATATGAACAATGAATTCGGCTACTAATTTCCATCGATCTGTTAATATTGTAGACTGGTGATTAAATAAATCCTACACACACACGATTCGTACCAATTTTGTCTTACACGTCAAGTGTTTTGTTGTCCTTTCGATTTCATTCACACCCTCCTCGACTACGTCACATCCTGCAGGAAAACATCGCTTTGACGTCATTTGGTTGACGCCGTGGTGAGTTTGTGTACCAAGTACTATTGACTACAAGCGTTGTTATTGTCTCCCCTTATTTGGCGTCTCGTGAAGTTGTTTCCACTTGATAAGAATTAAGTGGTGAGAGTTAATTTATTGTTCTACTCCTTGAAATGTGAAACAGAAACTACGACAACCTGTACAAAAAAAAAAAAAAAATTCAAAATTATTCATAAATCATTTGATATTAGTAACTATTCATTTCATGTTGAAGAATTTTTTTTTTTAAACAATGGACGTTGGAATAAAAAAAAATATCCTAATATACAAAAGCCTATATGCGCACTTTATTTATAGAACTATGTGGCTAGATTGTAAACAAGTGGAACCAACCTAAAACAGGAATTAAATAGGGGTTGTCGAGACCAGATTTAGACTTGGGGGTCATACGTAAATGACGTCACACTCCAAGGGGGAGGGGGGTCGGTAATTTTGTAACGGTGTGTGATGAGGGGGGAGGAGGTTCAGATGGTGTGACGTCACACTTTTGTGTTATAAAAAAGCAATGTTAGAAAACGAATTTTAGCCGTTATTTCGAGTTTTAGAAAACCGTTTCAATGAATCGTAATAGGAATTGATTAAAATACTCACAGTTCAGACAAGATTTTGGAAAAAATATCGTATTTTAAGAAAAATTCAACTGCAATTTTGAGGGGGGGGGGGGTTAGTTATGGATGATCTCTTGGTAAGGCCTATGCTGTGTTTAATATGGGTCCCAAGACGTTCTATGTCAGTAGCAAATATTTGCCTTTTTAAAAAAGGACGACAAAAAGTGTATTTGTTAAAGTAATTAAGGGGGTAGGCTAAAAAACAAAAACTTCTTAATAATAAGCCTCATATTTTTAATGTTTTATCGATGTGGAAATTATAGGAAATTATTTGCATGCATCTTCTGAAAGTATGGTGGTCATGGTAACGGCGGCCATCTTTAAACAAATTGTATGGAGGTTTCAATGTTCAAACACTAACATACATACTGGTCATAAAATCATTGAACCTTCTTTTACTATATCTAATAGAGACAGCTGGCTAATTTTTGTAACAGAAAACACTTTAGAAATAAAAAATTTTTCGAATTTTCAAAATATAGTAAGGTGAAATATTAAAATTAATGTTAAATTTAATGTTAAATTTACTGGTTAGCCTATTTTACAATACATTAAAGTGTTTTCTACTATATATATATACTATATTCTATTATAAGAACAGAAGTATAGACAGATCCTGAGGGACTAAGGATTCTGCCTACCACTTTGGTAACTATTTATGTGTGGAGATTGATTCTGCCTACCACTTTGGTAACTATTTATGTGTGGAGGTGGATTCTGCCTACCACTTTGGTAACTATTTAAGTGTGGAGGTGGATTCTGCCTACCACTTTGGTAACTTTTTATGTGTGGAGGTGGATTCTGCCTACCACTTTGGTAACCTTTTAAGTGTAGAGGTGGATTCTGCCTACCACTTTGGTAACTTTTTATGTGTGGAGGTGGATTCTGCCTACCACTTTGGTAACTATTTAAGTGTGGAGGTGGATTCTGCCTACCACTTTGGTAACTATTTATGTGTGGAGGTGGATTCTGCCTACCACTTTGGTAACTATTTAAGTGTGGAGATGGATTCTGCCTACCACTTTGGTAACTATTTATGTGTGGAGGTAGATTCTGCCTACCACTTTGGTAACTATTTAAGTGTGGAGATGGATTCTGCCTACCACTTTGGTAACTATTTAAGTGTGGAGGTGGATTCTGCCTACCACTTTGGTAACTATTTATGTGTGGAGGTGGATTCTGCCTACCACTTTGGTAACTATTTAAGTGTGGAGATGGATTCTGCCTACCACTTTGGTAACTATTTAAGTGTGGAGGTGGATTCTGCCTACCACTTTGGTAACTATTTAAGTGTGGAGATGGATTCTGCCTACCACTTTGGTAACTATTTAAGTGTGGAGGTGGATTCTGCCTACCACTTTGGTAACTATTTAAGTGTGGAGATGGATTCTGCCTACCACTTTGGTAACTTTTTATGTGTGGAGGTGGATTCTGCCTACCACTTTGGTAACTATTTAAGTGTGGAGGTGGATTCTGCCTACCACTTTGGTAACTATTTAAGTGTGGAGGTGGATTCTGCCTACCACTTTGGTAACTATTTAAGTGTGGAGATGGATTCTGCCTACCACTTTGGTAACTTTTTATGTGTGGAGGTGGATTCTGCCTACCACTTTGGTAACTATTTATGTGTAGAGGTGGATTCTGCCTACCACTTTGGTAACTATTTATGTGTAGAGGTGGATTCTGCCTACCACTTTGGTAACTATTTATGTGTAGAGGTGGATTCTGCATACCACTTTGGTAACTATTTATGTGTAGAGGTGGATTCTGCATACCACTCTGGTAACTATTTCTGTGTGGAGATAAAGAACCAGACACCGCCAGACCGGCACATTGCAACACTGGCAAGCCAGGGACGACCGCTGAAGTTAGCAATCCGAGGCACACAAATGGAACCTACATGATCATAAAGCTACAAGTGGGCCAAAGTTTTTTTTATAGATGGGTCTGTACGAATATCTTCATACATTACACACACACGCACACACACACACACACGCAGACACACACACACAAATACACACACGCAAACATTCACACGCATACACGCAAACACACAAATACACACAAGCACACACACAAACATACGAATACACACACGCACACAAATACACACACATACACACATACACGCACATACGCATGCTTACACACACACACACACACACGCAGACACACACACACAAATACACACACGCAAACATTCACACGCATACACGCAAACACACAAATACACACAAGCACACACACAAACATACGAATACACACACGCACACAAATACACACACATACACACATACACGCACATACGCATGCTTACACACATACACACACGCACACACATATACACACATACACACAACGCACACAAACACACACATGTGCAGTGTTACCATTCTCATTCATGCACGAGCTCGTTTTCTTCATTGTTTATAACTCCTGTGTATACCCTCTTCACATATCTCAACCTAACCGTATTCTTGTCCACCCCTCCACCACCACCACCACCCCCTCAACAGCTATAAATAAACAAAAAAAACGGTCCTTACACTACTTACCTCCTCGACCCCCCCCCATCCATTAACACCCCCCCCCCCCCCCCATCCATTAACACCCCCGCCAGAGAAACAGGAAAGAAAATACAACTTAGCTCTGTACGTAACTCTACAAAGAGTTTATGAATGAACGTAAACGCTGGGAAACAGCATGCGTGGGAGTTAGAACGAAAGAAAGATTTGTAACATGGAAACTTTGTCCATGTAGTTCCTAGAAACATGGTGTAG